AGGGTCCCGCCTGAGGTTCCTGGGTCCCTGGGAGGTGGCGCAGGACAACCCTGTAGCTTTGGTTCCAGCCCGAAGACATTTGGCTGTTAGAGGTAAGGCCACACCAGCCCCCACTCTGAGTACTACCCACAGCCTCAGTTTCCCCAGTGCTCAGGTAAAGCTGGGAAGGCGATGGCAGATCCTATTAGCCCATCCGAAAGACAAAGAGACTGAGGCCCAGAGAATTCTGCAAGCACGGGGCCTGGGGGATGGCTTAGAAATGGCTTATTTTTTTCCACCACCACCAGGGAACAAGGGCCCCAGCTGCCTGGCCCCGAAGCAGGGCTTGCCCAGGGCCACCTCCCTTGGGTCTCCATGCAAAGGGGGTTTTGGGGGTTCCCAAAGCCAGGTGAATAGATGAGGTTTGGGGCCCTGAGACAGAGCATGGGCTAAATGACTTCAAGCCCAGTCCAGGAGTTTCAGTCCCAGCTCCTAGTTCACCTGCTGTGTGCCCTTGGGCATGTTACCTTCCCTCTCTGGGCCTTAGTTTCTTCATCATTAATCTGTGGAGTAAACCTTTGAGTGGATCCTTAGGGTCTTTGATAACGAGGTCCTGTCCAGGGCGGGAGAGCAGAGAGAGAGCTTCCTGCCTCAACCTCCGAAAAGTTCACCTACTCCAGTGTTTTTCTCCGTAGGGACCCGCAGCCCCAGAATCCCCACAACCTTCTCCTCCATTGCAGAACCTGAGAGACCGGTGAGGCTGGGACAGGGGTGGCAAGGGTCTTGCCAGGGGGCTAGCAAGTATGTCCCACAGGGTGGGGGAAACCACAGGGACCAGGGGAGGGTTGGGGTAAGGGGGCTTCCTCTGGGGATCCAAGGGGCCCTATTCCTCAGTTACCAGGTGGTAGGGCACTGGAAACCGCCCGGAGGTGCTGACTACACACAGGCAAAACCTGAATGCCAAGGCCACTGAGGGTGGAGGAGTCATCACCAAGGTCGCCCAGGCTCCCCAGGGCAAGGGGGAGTGGAAGGAGTGGGGAACCCCTCCCCTGACGACCTCCTCTGTCCTCAGGCTGTGGAGCTGACCAGCATTCAAGGCGTCAGGTACAGCTCCCACCCCAGCGGGTTCCCCTTTTCCCCTTGGCACCTGGACGCCCCCCCTCAGCCCCACTGCACCGGGATGGAAGTGATCTGAGAAGCGAGCGCACCTGACCTCCCACTACTTGCGGGGCCCTTCCTCTTGTTCTGCTCCTTGTCGGTGCTGAAAGTCCCCCATTAGCACACTGGGGGTCTGTCAGCAAAGTGCAGTGCTCTTTGGGAGAGGCACACTCCGGATAGATTTGGGACCCCTTCGCAGAGCCGGTGCTGCGGGAGGGGCAGTGAGCTAGGAGCCTGCCTTCCTCTGTGCACCCACTCCATCTGGCCCCCCAGGCCCAGCCTCCTGGCCGCACCCCTCCCAGAGTCCCTATCCTGATGCCTTGTGGGCTGAAACGACTTCCAAACCTGGTGAGAAGCAAGCGCTTTTTCCTCGCAGGCTCCGTTCCCCCAAGTGGAGGGCTGATGGGGGCCTGTGGGCAGCGGGGCAAAGCTGGAGCCACCCCAGTCCCTGCTCAGGGAGAGGACTGAGTCTGGGGAGCTCAGCCTGGCCCGAGGGGAGCCGAGGGGCCTCTGGCCACTGTCAGCCTCTCTCAGCCTGGGTCCCCCAGTCTTAGAACACAGCTGACTGTAGGAGGGGCTGCCAGGCACTGCCCCGCCTCAAACCGGGGGATCCTTCCCAGCGTGGGCAGGAGGCCCGTTTGTGCGGCTGAACTGGGGCTGGGCTCTGGGCGAAAGCCCTGCGTTGGCTGACACCTTTAATCTGGGGACCTGGGGAAACTATCCTCCCATCGTGCCGATGGGGAAAGTGAGGCACCGGGGCAGTCACATAGGTGTAAACGGAGGCACATTCGAAACCCAAGTCTGTAGGACCCCAGGCTCCCGCGGGCCTCCTCCCCTGCCTGGTGTCCCAGTCCCAGGGAGCCTCAGCACCCCCTTCTGCAACGTAGGCAGGGGGCGCCCCCTGCAGGCCAGCGCGCGCTGGGCCTGCCGCAGGGCCGACCGCGCCCCGGTCCCGCGGGCCCCCAGCCGCCCCCCGCCCCGCGCACCCCCGCCCCTCCCCCCCACCCCCGCAGGCGCGACGCCGGTGGGAACAAGAGCGGCAGCGGCGCCTCCGCGCTCAAGTGACAGCGCCTTTGTCTCTGCTGAATGGGTGCGTTGCTAAGGCCGATCGTAGCAACGGCGCCGCTTCCACCTCGGCCCGCGGCCGGCCCCACCCTCCGGACCCCCAACCTGCCTCGCCCTCCCTCCGGACGCCCTAGCCCCCCTCCCCCTCCGCAGCCCGCGACCTTCTCAGGTGGCCCGAGCACGAGGTCCCTCCCGAGGCAGCCACCGCCCTTCCCGAAAGCCTCTGGGCATCAGGTGTTCGAGAGAAACTGAGGCTCAGAGAGGGGATGGGGGAGACTGCCCAGGGCCCCCCGGGGCCAGAATCCGCCCCTCCCAGGGCTTCCCCCAGCCTCAGTTCCCAATCCCCTCCAGGGGCCCCCGCCACGATTCTCCGCCAGCTCAGCCCGGCACCTTCCTCCCAGGTTTCTAGAGAGAGTGCGAGCGGACCTGCCTCCAGGCTCTGCGTGGGGACCTCTGAAAGGCCCCACCGGGGGCCCCTGCGGGACAGATGGCCTCTGCCTCAGCCTCGCCCTGGCACGGTGCCAACGCTGCTGCGCCCCCCCAGCTCAGCCCCCGAACTTTGTCCAAGATTGTTGCCCCCACACCTTGCCCCCCTGCCTGGAAGTTCTGACAGCCCCATGGCAGCTCTCCTAATAAATAGTACTACTGTGACCTGTTCCTCCCTGGGGGTCCCCCTGGCCTGGGGAGTCCCTGGGAGGAGGATGGGACAAGGGAAGCGGCCACTTTGTCTTTGGGACTCAAGACAACCCCAGTTTCATTAACAGAGTAGGTACAGCCAACACTTATTAGCACCTACTGTGTACCTGGCTGGTACTGAGCCCTTGATTGCCTTAGAGCTGTGGGTCCTCACCTCAGCCCCGTGACCACCATTGCCCCTGTTGTACAGAGGAAGAAACTGAGGTTCAGAGAAGGCCTCCCCAGCTGGTAGCCTGGGGACCAAGGGGTGGCAGTCACAGTGAGGTGGAGTCACCCAGAAAAGACTGCTCAGAGAAGGCATCAGGGTAGGTGGGACTGGCTCCAGGTACGACGGGTCATGCTGCGGGGGGACCCCAACTCAGACTCTGGCTACGGGACCAGGTCCGGCCACCACTGACTCTGTGGCAGGGGGCAAGATTCTTCTGTGAGTCCGGGTCCCTTCTTAGGTAGAGCTGGTTTCAGGGCCGAGGGGAGCAGCGGTGGTGATGTGTTAGGGCACTAGGGTGGGTCCTGAGGTGGAAGCCAGGCGAAGGAGGGGCCCAGGGACTGCTAACACTGTCCTGCGGACCTCAGGCTGGCCCAGAGGCTGCCGGAGCCAGAGGATGTGGCACAGCCGGGGAGCATCAGAGCAGCCTCCCTGGAGGAGGCACACGTGAGTGGAGGCGGGGCAGGGTTACATGAGAAGCCCCGAGACCCAGCCAGGGACAAGTTGCACCCAGTTCTCCCCATAGCCTTATGTGTCGCTTCCACTCTGGGCCCCACCTGGCTTGTCTGGGACAAAATCTATCCAGGGGTTGGCCCATCAGGCAAGGACAGGGGGCTGGGTATTTCATTCTGGGGATGGGGGCTGTCGAACCTTCCGAAGCCCCTCATCTGCAGAATGGGGGCCATCAAGCCCCACCCCACAGGCGACAAGAGGGTAAGTGCAGTCTTGTGTGCTAGTCCCTGGGCCCAGCACATAGTAGGAATGTCGGCTGTCTTCAGAGAAGGATGTGCAGGGGACTGGGGGCACACAGAGCCCACCGTGTAGAGGAGGTGATGTGTAGGGCTTTGAAGACCCCCAGCAGAGACGGAGGCCGGCAGGTTTGGGCAGGTTTGGGGAGGTTTGGGGCCGGGCAGGTTTGGGGAGGCAGCAGCGGTCCGCCTGCTCTGGGAAGGCCCAGCAGTGCCATAGGGAGGATGCCAGGCTGGGGACCACCGCTGAGGTTCCAGAGAACAAGGCACTCAGCCTGGCTGTCTGCTGCCACGGAGCCGGAGGAGGGGCGCCGCAACACGGGGAAGCAAGTAGGTGGCTCTGAATTGGGCGGCCACTTGGTCTCTACTGCCTGCATTTGCAGTGTCCTCTGACTCCTTCCCCTCACCTCCAGGGGAGGCCTGCCTCCCCGCCGACTAATCATGTGGTCATGTGGACTGGCGGGGGGGGGGGGGTGGAGGGAGGTCCAGGAGTGGCCACCAAGGAGTCCTTTCCAGTCTCCCCTCCTCCTACCCCATACCCTTCCTCCCACCACCCCCTCTCTTTACTCTCCAGCCCAAATAACTTCGCTTAGGTCCCCAGCCACCTGCCCACACTGCCCCCAACTCTTGTCTTAGCTGGCAAACCCCTGGACATCCTTTAAAACCCAGCTTGGATGACACCTCTGCCGAGAAGACTTCCTGTCGCCCCAGGGGCAGAATCAATCCCTTCCTCCTCTTCGCTGGCTCTTATGTGATGGATCACACAGGATTACGAAATGACTGAAAGGCCTCCTGCGAGACTGGAAGCTCCCCAGAGGCAGGAACCCAAGCATCTGCTTCACTTCTGAAGGTGCCAGGCGGGAAAAGGACACTTCTTCTTTGCATAAAAGCCACTGCCAAGCTGGGTGCCTGGCGGGGGGGCATCTTTTTTCTGTCGTGCACAGAGGCATGAAGTGGTCCGGGAGTGGCCCCAGGGGTGAACTAGTCAGGTCGGTCGGGATGATGCAGGTTGGCGTGATGGCTCTGCCCCTTCTTGATGTGGGACCTTGGACAGGCCACTTCGCCCCTCCGGACCTCAGTTTCCTCATCTGTAATCTGGAGCTGCCACCTACCGGAGTGGCTTTGAGGAGCAGATGGGACAACAAAACAGGACAAAGCCAGTGAAGCCCTGGAGGACATCTAGAGCAGAGGCAGCTCGCCTCAGAAAGCAGCCGCGCTCACTGCTGCCTCCCAGCGGGGGAGGCAAGAGATTCAGGGAGAGGGGCCAGGCCCGGGGCCACCAGATGGACCGAGAAGAAAGGCCGGCGCTCCCAAGTCAGGAGGACCCGGGTTTGAATCTGCCCCTGCAGATAACTGACTGCGGGGCACCTGCCAAGTGCCTCTCCTGGATCCTAAGCCCTGCCTGACTGGGCTACCGTAGGGACAGGGACATAAGGGACCACACACAGTAGGTGCTCATGAAATCATTGCTCCCTTCTGCCCAAGATGGCGGTTGAGATGCACGGCCAGGGTGGAACTCCGGCTGAGGCCCAGGAAGACACAAGCATCTCCCAGGCCTCCTGGGTATGGCAAGGTCCCAGGGATGATGTGGGGCCCACAGGCTCCCCAACGGTGCCTGGTGTACCCCCACTCTGGCCCCAGGTTTTGAACCAAAGCTTATCTGACTGTCACGTCAATCCCTATCAGAGCATCATCGCCCAGCCCTAGACCACCCAAACCCACCTTGGAGGTTCTGCTTTGGCCCCAGAATGTAAATAGGCAAAGGTAGCTGGAAACTAATTGCAAAATTTATTCCAGGGCTGCAAGGGCTGGGGAGATTCTTAAGGGCACTTCTCATTTTGGGGCTGCGGGTCTCTGGCCTTGGCAGGGGCACACATTTCAGTGGGCAGGGGTGGGCACTGAGACAGGGCGGTGGAAGGCAAGGGAGAATGGACGCCCAGTCACCTCCAACTGGGCAGGCTCAGCAGAAGCTGCAATGGCAACGTGAAAGCAGGAAAGACAGTGGATGCCCAGCCCGGGGACAGAGGACAGCCAAGGCCTCCCCCTAGCTCCTGGCCCTGGAGAGTGTCCTTCAGGACACAGGGCAGGAGGAGGCCAGGGAGCTGGGACCCAGCTTCAAGGGTTTGCAGCAAGGGACCCAGTGGGACGGGGCCAATGAGGAAAGGGCTTATCAGCAATGTCCCCCATCTGGAGACCCATACACCCTCCTCAAGTTCACCCATGTTCCTACACACAGAGACTCCGAGCCCCGACAGGACACCCTGCTGTTCATCGAAGGAGGGGCAAGCAACAACTCCTCTCTGGATTGAAACAATGGTCCCACACCACCCATGGGGTACTTGGCATGCGGGTGTTTGGAGGGAAACCATGGGCTGTACTTGGGGCTAATCCCCAAGTCCCAGCCTCAATCCTCAAATCCATCCCCTGCCCCGCCACATACACACCTTTCAAAGATATCTAGAGTACTAGATTAAAAAACAAATAAAACCCACAAACCCACAAACCTCTTGACTACAGCCTTTGCAGATACATACCAGCCTGGGCTGGCCAACTGTGGGTGGGGCTAGAACGTTCTAGCTCCCTGGTGGCAGAGAGATAGAAACTTCTCCTCCGATGGGAGAGGGATAGAGAGAGCGGATTGTAGTGAAATTCTTTTCAGATAGCATGTCAGAGTTCTCCCCTGCACAAGTCAGATGGGGTGTAAGGGCTAGGGAGGAGGGCTTGGTCCTAACCCGCCCCCTAGTGTCCTCTAGGCCCCACAGTGCCTGACCAACTTTGCAAACTCAGTGACTCCTAGTTCACAAAACAGAGGGCTTCCCTCCTGGTCTCTGGGAGGGGGTTCTGGAGACCCTCTCTTCTCCCCCAGTTGATGCCCCCTCAACGTCTCTCTGCTTCTGTTCCCCGGAGAGGGGAAAGGGATGACTTCTGACCCAAGGGACGTGGAGGCCCACCAGGGAATCCCGAACCTCCTCCCTGGACCTGTGCTTCCAGACTCCAGGACAGACAGCTGGGAGCAAGGGGAGGGGGAGGGGGTGCTTAGCAGCCGCCTTCTTGGGGCCCTCTGAGTGGCAGGCAGGTGCCCGTGGGGCCGCCCTACCTCAGCCAGGCCCCATCCCCCCTCACCCAGCTTCCCAAACACGGGGCTTCAGAGAGCGCAGGGGCAGAGGGCCTTACAGGGTGGGGCTCCTGGGTCGCAGAATAAACTCAACCATCTGGAGGGCCTTGGGGGTGGCTGCGACCCCCAGCCTGGCCCCAGGCCCGGCCCCACCCAGCCCAGGCTCAAGTCTGCTTGGCTTGCAGCATCTCGATGAGCAGGTTGTTGCGGGGCATCTCGTTGCCCAGGTGCTTGTGGTACAGATACTCCCTGGCCTGCACGCTCAGTGCGCGCACCTCCACCAAGCATAGCAGCAGCTGCTGGAACTTGTCCCCGCAGTGCGGGTAGTGACACAGGGTGTAATCGAGCAAGGCGGCATTGGCCTTCTCCTGAGCGTCCTTCACCAGGCTGTGGTTATTCATGAACTTCACATCTGCAAAGGGAGGAGCTCTGTCACCACCGGCGGCCCAGCACATCGGCCGCGGTCACCCGCAACACCAGCACCAACATCCCCCAGAAGCACCAAAGACGGGGCGCTGCCACCATCAAGGACATGGCCGGGCCTCCCGTCGCCACCGGAGCCACCATCCCCGGGGCTGGGGAGCACGGCCACCAGCAGCAGTCACCGATATTGACCGCCCCGTGTCCCTCGCAAATGTGGCCACTGCCGCCACCATCCACCCGACTGCCAGCGGCGGTCACCAACGCTAACCTCTCTGCAGGTGTCCCAAACACGGCCGCCGCCACCATCACCCACCCAAGCACGATTACCTGTCACCATCGTTACTGCCACTGCCACTATCCCACTGGTTACGAGGAACACCTCCATCCCCTCCAAAACCACCCCAACCTCAGCAGCTATCTCCCTGGGCATGGGATTCAACTTCTCAATTTCCTGCAAAACGGTGACAGGAGTACCTACTTCATAAGATTGTCAGGAGAATTCAGGGACTTGGTCGGTGGAAAGTGCGTGGAGAACAGTGTCTGGCACATAAGAAGGCCAGTATGTCACCATTATTAGCCCTACTCTCACGCCACCATGATCAACACCATCCCCAGCCCCAGGGTCAAAACCTTCCTGGGGACAGCTGGGTGGCTCAGTCAGTTAAGCATCCAACTCTGGATCTCCGTTCAGGTCTTGATCTCAGGGTCATGAGTTCAAGCCCCGCGTTGGGCTCCACGCTGGGCGTGGAACCTACTTAAAACAAACAAACAAACAAAACAAAAAAACCATCCTGTTGCCATCATCCCCACAGTGGTCACCATCAGCACCATCAGCTGCAAGCACGCTGTGACTGCAAAGGTCCCATCTCCCAGCTGCCAGGCTCACACACTGGTGGCCCTATTCTAGAGGGCGACAGGCACTCCTTTGGTCTACCCTGTGACCGACCAAGAGCCTCTGGTACCGCAAGGAGATTCCCTCGTGGGGCCATGGAGGACGAGGACGCTCACTAAGCAGCATCTAGGGAGGTGCTCCCCAGGGGGTCCTGCGAGGTAGACACACGCAGTGGAGCAGACATACCACAGAGCAAACGGACAGATCTTTAAAAGCATAGAGCTCAGGGGCGCCTGGGTGGCTCAGTTGGTTAAGCGACTGCCTTCGGCTCAGGTCATGATCCTGGAGTCCCGGGATCAAGTCCCACATCGGGCTCCCTGCTCAGCAGGGGGTCTGCTTCTCCCTCTGCCCTCTTCCCTCTCGTGCTCTGTCTCTCATTCTCTCTCTCTCAAATAAAAATAAATAAAATCTTTAAAAAATAAAAAAATAAAAAAATAAAAGCATAGAGCTCAGTGGGAAAAAACAGAAAAGGAAGATCCAGAATGAGATCCACAAGGCAAAGTCATCTACATAAATTAAAAATGCTTGTACAGAAGCATGCGCATTATGTAAGAACAGGGACAAACAGGGAATCCAAGTTAAACGTGAAGGTGTGGCTGCCTGTGGGAGGGACGAGGGCAGTCAGCTCTGCGTGGACCGGTGATCACCTGTGCCGGGGACAGAGGAGTGTGACCAGTGCTTCCTGCACGCCCAGTGGAGGTCCAGTGAAGACATGAAAAATAAAATGTCTTCGGAATGAGGCCAATTGGGGTTCAAATCCTAGGCCCACCAGTTAGGAGCTGTGGCTTTGTGCCCTGGCCCCTCCTGGCCTGAGAGGCCTTCTTCCTCTGTGAATGGCGCATGCTCACCTTGCAGGGCTAGGAGCTTGGGGGCCAGGGCCTGCACAGGTGTCTGGACCCCAGGGGCACCCAGAGAGGGTCAATTTGTCACTCAGGTCCTCATCACTGCTTGGCAGGTGTCTCTCAGCTCCTGGGCAGCACCCCCAGCTGGTGCCCTGCCTGGCAGCTGAGGTTCAGCAGGAATCTACAGAACCGGTCCCCCACCCCCAAATCCAGCCCAGCCTGGCCTGCGATATAGCATCCGGTGGTTCAGGGAGTGGTCATCCGTCCACTTCCCCTCTGTGGCTGCGTGGGAGTCTGGAGCCCAGCATGTGCAGCCCTTGGCCCTTCTAATCCCTCTTAACACCCACTGCGCCAGGAGGGCTTGATGCTCCTGGCAACCCTGATCCCCAGCCGCCCCCGGTGCGCCTGCTGAGGCCTGTGTTGTCCAAAGTTGGATTTAGGGAAACCTGAGCTGGGCCCAAGGCGTATGGCAGGATCTGGCCCCAGTCCTCCACCCCCACCCCTGGCCCCCTCACCTCCCTTCAGTAAGTGAGCCAGGGTCATTTTCTTCCTTGCCTCCCCCAGGATCACCATGAGCCCTTAAGGCACCTTTGTGCCAATTACGAAAAAGTTCCCCCTTGTACACAGAGACAGTATGGCAAGGGGCATACAAGCTGGAAGTCAGCCCCTATTCATCATCTGCCTAGGTGCCCTTGTGCAGTGAACAACCTGTTCAACTGTGCATTGCAGCCCTGCTCCTTAGCCTGGACTACTCCAGACACACTCAAAGGTCACAAGAAGCCCCCACCCTCTCCGAAGCTGGCCTCCTAGGCACAAGAGGTGACTACTGACCCCATCCCTGTCCCAACCTCTTTTCATCCTATAGGGTCCTGTCTACCTTCACCTCCCACCCCCACTGCTCCCCACTGCCCCCTGCCCTCTACCCCCAGCCCAGGCTGGGCAATTCTCCTGACATTGCCTTCTGGCAATGCACTGTAGGAGGCTGGGGGTCCAGAGAAGAGTAGGGACCAGCTCAAGGCCACACAGCAGTAAGGGGGCCCAGAGGAAACAGCTGGGGGTGGAGGAGGATGGGCTAGGATGCTGCAGTAGAGGAAGGAGTGGGAGGGGGCTGGGGGGACCAGAGCCTCGGCTTTACCAGGATTTACTGTTCTCCAGAGCACCGCAGCGCCGTACCAGGGACAATGGGGTGGAGTGCAGGGGGTGGGTATGGAACAAGGACAGCGCTCAGGGACAGCCCCCACTCTTAGCAGTTCTCTGGATCTCTCAGCTCTCTGCAGACTGGAGACCCCCGCCGCCCCCATGCGGTGGGCTACAGGGCTGGGGGGAGGAAGCAGTCACCAGTTAAGCCCTGATGACTATATTTAGGTGCACCCAGTTTCCCAGGCACCCGCTGGGCATCGTGCATAGCTCAGTTAATCCCCACAGACACCCAGGCAGGCGGGGAAGGGCATCCCCCAGGCGCAGGGACAGTGGGCTATGCCTGGGACACCCAGCAGGTGCCAGAGTCTGGATGCAAATCCAGGTCTCCTGGCTCCAAAGCCCGGTGGGTAAGCACAGGCGGCGTCAGGCTTGGACGTCAATTCCTGAGAGACAGGACGTGAAAACTTTGTTTCGTCCAATCCAGGAGTCCTGTCCAAGGGCCCCCACCCCTGGGATCCTAGGGTTTGGAGGCCACGCTGGACTCCAGACTCCTCTTCCTCCTCACCCTGGAGGAGACCACCGTCAAGTCATGCCCCCTCTCCCACCTCCCTGCACACCCCCCACCCAAAGGGACTGTCGTGAAGCTTGTGGGATAACGGGTGTGACAGAGCATGAACACCATGCTTTTCTTCCGTTGGACATGGGAGCAGGGGACACACAGACCTGGAGGTGCCCCCTTAATATGTCGGGGGTTCAAATCCCAGCTCCACCACCAGCTGGGTGACCTTGGGCAAGGCCCTTCCCCTGAGCTGTTTCCCGTCGTCATCTGCAAAATGGGGGCAGACGAATCTCCACCTCCCAGGGTGCCCAAGAACCGGACCTGATCTGTGTTGCCGAGCTCTGGTTCCCGGGACCCGGGACGCCGCAGGTTGGAGATGGGCATGGGGGAGAAAAGCCCGGCGTGTCCCCCCAGCCTGCTCAGCTCCAGCAATCCTGGAGGTGGGAGGCGGGAGGGGGCTGGGAGATGGCACCCCCACCTCGGAGAGCAGCCTGCTAGCGCTGCGGAGCTGGGGGCCCCCAGGTTCTCAGAAAAGCCCCCTTTTCACGGTTTAATTGAATATTTGAATAATCCTTTCATTCCAGCGAGGCATAAAGAATGTTGTCCCAATAGCGGTGACTCAGGCAGGCGCCCCCGCGCACAATGGCCCCTCGAGTGGGGCTGCTATTCAGGCCGCCTTTTGTTGGCGTGGAGCAGTGGGTAAATTGCAAACGCTTAAGGGAATGCTGCAGCGGCCGCCTCAATGGGAGTCAGGAAATCGAATGTTAGGTCAATCCATTAAGCTTCGATTAAGTCCTCTCCGGAACAATGCCAGCCGGGCCCATCTTCATAAACACCGCGATTGCCAGGAGAGAGGCACTAATTTTAATTAAACCTCCTTACCTGCCTCCACGCCTGCAGGGAGACGGCTATTTAGACACCAAATGGCACCCTTCTGCGGAGGCAGGCGGGCAGGAGGCGCTGACGGGGCTGCAGGCGATGGGGTGGGGGGGTGGGGGGACAGTCGTCACAGGGCATGAGGCTGCCCAGCCCAAGGAGGTGATGCCCAGCGTGCCAGCTGGAGGTCCAAGGGCAAGTGGCCGTCCCTCTCTGGGCTCCAGGTCCCTTGGGGACCTATTCTTGGGGCCTGGCAGCGGGGAACATGGGAGAGCCCTATCGCCCTTCCAGACTCTGGGCAGATCTTCCCCCTCATCTTGCCCAAACTTGCCCACTTCACTCCAGCCCCGGGGCTAGCCTCTTGCAGGGCTCTGGGCTGCCACCTGCCATCCTTCTCCCATGCTGCAGCTAGAAGGACCTTGCTAAAATGCAAATGCGATCATGTTACTCCAGCTGAAAAGCCTTCCCAAGGGAAGGGTCAAGGTCCTTGGCCTGGCATTCGAGGCCTTCCTCAGCTCAGCCCCTCCCTGACCCACAACCACAGCAGACTTCCAGGATTCCCCATCCCTTTGCACAGCCCTTTGCTGCCGCTTGCTTTGTTTCACCTAGAACACTCCTACTCATACTGCAAGGCCCAGCTCAGAGGCCCCTCCTCCAAGAAGCCTTCCTTGATATCTTAGGTGTGGGTGGTTTCTTCTCTTCGGTCCAACCCTGATCACACTGGCCTGTTCAGGCTCCTCCTGGAACCTGGAACCTGTCACCCAACAGCCCCTGTACCTCACCTGGCCTCCTGTCTTACTGTTCTCCCAGGAGCTCAGGCAGGCCCCGGCATAGGGGCCTCCTCCTCCTCCTCCCCTCCCAGACTCGGCCACACTAGAGTTAGTTTCTAACCTGCTGGGCTGGGCGTCCCCCCACCCAACTCGGCCAGACCCGCCTCCCTGCGATAAGGCACTGTGCCAGACACAGAAGCCATTAAGACAGAGACTGACTTGATCATTCATTCACTTCATTCATTCATTTGCTCATTTGCTCACTGGTGGTAATGATGGAGAGAAACAACACCGATGCACATTCCAAGGGGCCAGACCGTGCACTGAGCACTTTGGGGGAACTCCCTCATGAAATCCTCATAGCGAATTAAAGATTATTATGATGGTCATCTTACAAATGGGAAAATAGAGGCTCAGAGAGGGGAGTGACTTGCTCAAGGGCACACAGCCAGAGAGAGAGTCCGGATTTAGAATGCAGGCGGTCCGTCCCTAGGCGCCATTCCTAACCACTGTCCCTCCCTGCCTCACACGTGTGAACACACACGCATATATACGCATGCTCTCTCTCTCCTGCATCCGGCCCCTCCAGCCTATGCCAGACAAGCACGGGAGAGAGTCCCTGTCTCTCAGGCCCCAGCTACCCACTCTGGCAAACAGGAGGAAGACTAGCAAGAAGGAGGGGCCGGCACTGAGGCTTCGGAGCATGGCCACTCACCCGGAGCGGGGGAAGAGGGCTGGGCTCGGCTCTGCTATCCTTACGCCCCGTACAAGGAGAAGTCCTGGATTTCTCGACTGCTGGAGGCCAGAGCTGTACTGGGCCTGGCAGTCCCCAGCGCCCAGGGCTTTGTTGGAAGAGGGGCAGGGGCTACGGGGGTGTGCCTCGGGCCCTGGGGGGGTCTAGAAAGCCAAACCATGGCATCTGCTCTACGGGGAGGCCTGGCCAAGAAGGCTGGTGGCTGGCAGCCCACCCTCCACCCACCCCTCCTCTGGGCCTCCCTGGAGACCTCTAGATGGGGGTCATGTCAAGAAACCACCCTGACCATCACGGGCCCCACACTCCAATTCTATGTGCACTCCAAATCCTTCATGTCTCCAAATCTCGCATCACTCCCCAATTACATACAGATTGTTTCTACAACGTGACATGTAAAAAGCCTGTGAAAGTTCATAGTCTGCACATGTGTGAAAACAAAGGCACAAATGCAAAGGCACAACCATGCACATGATTCCTGGAGTCTCCACACCCCCAAACCACACACCAGCATGGCTCTGGCCTGAGCCAGTTCCCAGAGCCTGACAGCTCACAGACACAAGGTTGGGAGGTGGGTACCACTGGAGGGAAGAAGGAGGGAGCTTCCCCCAGCTGAAGCCAGCCCGGCCTGGGCCCCTGAGGCCCCTCCATGGGTTCCAGGCCACATCTCCTAACTGGCTGCCCAAGATTCTGTCTCCACGACGCACCAGGGTTGTCCCCTACCAAGCCTCGTAGCCTTGCATAGAAGCCCTCCAGCTACCAGCCTGCTGTGCGGGAGTCAGGAGACCGGCCCAGGCACCCAGTCACATGGCCATAGCCTGAGGACTGGGCTTCCCATGGTCAACTCTTCATTAATTACCCCCCATTCTGCCCAGCTCTCCCCACTCTCAGGCAGGTGGCGCTCCCTTGCCAGACTGGGGCTACGAGGTCATCTACCACAAAGATGACATCTGAATCTTGCTCCCTCTCCAAGTGATGAGGCATTCATGCCCTTCTGTTCTGACCTGCCATCCCATCTACACCTCTGCTAAAAGATTTATCCTTCCAGCAAACTCCTACTCATCTTCCAAGGCCCTGCTCAGATGCCCCTCTTCCAGGAAGCCTTCTAGGCAAAGCTCTTGTTCCCCACTCCGGGTCCCCCATCTCTGTCCCCGCCCTGGCAGCACTAGGTGGAGGCCTATACCGGCCTGGGAGCCACCTGGCAGCAAAGACACGTTCATGTTCACAGCATTGCTGGACCTGGGGAAGGCACAGATGGCTCGCTAGGTGAGGGAGGACAGGAGGCCAGCCTGATGGGAGCCCCGAGGAGGGTGGAGGCTGGAGCGGGACGGGCTGGGTGCATCAGGAGGGCAATGAGAGGGAGACCCCTGACTCGGGGAGTGGGGCTGGTGGACTGGGCTCACCCTCTGCCACCTCCCTGCTTTACTTTCCTCCTTCGCCCTGCTCAGTCTTCCAGGCTATACATTTTACTAATCATTTCACTCATTTCTATAGCTTACTAATCATATCACGCTTATTGTCTCTCCCGGGAGAGAAGGATGGCTCCATGACAATACGGATTGGGGATCTTTTTTGTTCACCCTGTGTCCGCAGTGCCTTGCAGAGTGCAGATGCTGAGCAGATGTTTGTAGAATGAGTACATGAATGAATGAATGAGTGCGGAGCCCAGAGTCAGAATTTGGGCCCCCCTAGAGCAGGGAACCGGGAAAATAGGGACCTCAGGATGGGAACCAGGGAACAGAAGCTCCCGAAATCACACAGGCGTTTTTCCGGAGGTGACCTGGGCACTTTTCTGGGGCTTCCAGCCAGGGATTTACCGAATTCATACAGATCTGTACGATTTGCCCACAGAGGGCTAATCTTAGACACTGTCTTGGTCCTCTGTACCTCCCAACAGAGAAACTGAGGCCCAGAGAGGAAACACCCGCCATTTGAAGAGCCAGGCCTGTGCCCTCCTACCCTTACTCACCGCAGGCCCAGTCCCTGCCCAGCGGAGCCCCCCCCCGGGGCAGAGCCTCACGGCGCCGGGCCCACCACCTCCGTCGCCCCCGCTCACCGCCCCAGGCCGGGCCGGGCGCACTCACCGAGGCTGAAGAGGATGAGGAATTTGAGGCAGACGAACTCCTGGCGGTCCAGCTGCAGCGCCAGCAGCTGCAGCACCAGCTCCTGCGCCCGCAGGACCAGGCTGTGCAGCAGGGAGCCCGCCTGGGCGGCCACCGTGGTCAGCTCCACCTGCGCGGGCGGGCGGGCGTCAGCGTCAGCGGCGCGGGGCGGGGGCTCTGGTTAGGGACCGGGGGCGGGAGGAGCTGGGGAGGGGGGGAGGGGGGGCAGCTGGGCGCAGAGGGAGAGCTGAAGGGTCCTTGTCACGCAAACGGCTGCTGCCAACGCCACGTCGTGCTGAGTGCGGGGCAGGGTCGGAGCTGGTCTGCCCGCATCCACGTGCACACGGCCACGGGACTGCCCAGGGCCCCACACGTCCACACGTGGACCCCCAGGCTGGGGATGTGACCACACCCCAGCTCCCAGTCTCACACACCCACGGACACACTCACAGGGCGGTGCCCCCATTTCATGAAGCGAACACACACGCACACACACACAGGTGACCGTGTATGGTCACCTCACAAGGTAACGCGACAGACACGCACCCATGTATGAGTTCCCACACGTGGTGACAGGCAGATCTCAGCAACCACATGCTTAAGTGCGGCGAGATATGGCCTCAGAGACTTCGGCCGCATGTTGACATAGGCCAACACGAACACGCTCATACTCAGACTCTCCTATCTGCATTCACAGGTGGCCTCCAAGTCACACCCTTGGGACCAGCACTGCCGGGCCCTGGATGCCCTGAGACACCCAGGGTGAGAACGGAGCACGAGGACCAAGGGCCTGGGTTGGAGATAGGGGATGCGGAGCAGGGCCTCAGCCTCCAACCGCCACCCCCAGAGCACCTGTCAACCACTCTTCCTCCTGTCTCCCCCTCAGGACCGATGCTCCCCCCACCAGCCTAGACCCTGGCATCAGCCTCTCTTCTTGCTCTCCCTCCTTCCCTCCATTTCTCCCACACCTCCTCCCTCAGTTGGGGGTCCTCCTCCTTCAACTGCCCCCTCCCAGGTCCCCAGCATTCCACAATGGCCTCGACTTCCTCACCCCCCACCCCACCCCCTCTGTGTGTTTCCTCAAATACAACCTGGATGAGCCCTTCCTCACTTAAAACTCTCCCGTGGCTCCCTGCTTGATTTCAGGAGTTCCCAGCTCCTATCCTAGGGCTTCTAATTCCCTGCTCTGGGGCGGGGCGGGGGGCCCAAATTCCTTCGCCCATTCCTTCATCCACTCAGGATTTAGAGCCTTACTTCTCACCTCACAGGGCTCCTGGCCCCCCAAACCCACACACCAGCAGCCTCCGGTAACTCAGCAGTTCTAAACATCCTCCTGTGCGCCTTCATCCATGCTGTCCCTTCTGCTGTGATGGGGGTGGGACTGCCCCCCCACCACCTTTTATGACCTGACCGACCCCTATTTGTTCTTTCAAGACCCAGGGCCACCACCACCTCCTCCAAGAGCCTCCCTGACTCTCTCCACATCCCTGAGCTGCTTCCTAGGGGCTGGCACCTGTCAAGGCCAGGGCCAGGGCTGGTCAGAGGGAGGTCGGGCATGAACTTGGGGAAAGGGCTGACACCGGGGTGCCCAGGGCCAGCCCTGGAGAGGCCTAGGACCTCTTCTGGGCTCAGAATTTTGGAAGCACCCTTTAGGGCATGGCACGGGGCACAGTAGGGTCTGGTCACCTCCTGCCCGGTGACCAGCAGGATGCTGCCCTCCTTGCCGTGTTGGATCTGGCGGTAGACATGGTCAAATACTAGCAGCTCACTCCAGCAGTTCTGTAGTAGTGTCATCTGGTCGGCCACCTGGAGGGAAGAGGCATGTGTGGGGCTAGGGTCCAGCCAGGTACAGCCAGGGACCTTCCTCTCACCCCTCTCCCTCCCAGCTCACGATTCCGAGGCTCGCTTGGATATGTGACCTGGGCAAGCCGCTTCCCCTCTCCGTGCCCTTTGTGCCTATCTGCAGGGATCGAGCAAAAAAAAAAAAAAAAAGGTCCAGTGGAGGTGCTCAGAACTCAGACAGGCCTGGCTTTAGGCCCCGGCTCTGTTCCTACAAGGTGTATGACCTTAAGCAAGTTCTATAGCCCTCTGAGCCTCGATTCTCTCATCTGTGAAGTGGGCAAAGTGGGGCACCCAGTGCAAGGACAGGGACTGCCCCTGTGGGGGGGTGTCCTTCCGCCCTGGAGGGTCACAACATTCTAGTATAGCTAGAGTGGACGCTCGTGACCATGGCGAGTGGGACTCGGGACCGTGGGATGCCAGAGCCAGAAGGGCCCTCAGAGATCCTCTGGCCAAAACCTCTATTGTTTAGATGAAAATCTGCTGCCCGGAGAAGGCGAAGGATCGCCAGGCCAGAGCCACGGTTGGCCTTCTCAGTCCACAACCCTCTACAGTGTCCTGGGTGTTCGGAACTGCCCGGGGCACTGCAGGTCAGCCTAGGGAGATACGATTTGGACACCAGTCCCTCCCAGCACCTGCGGCTCATTCGCTGGCCGCCATCTGCCCAGCAGGTACTTCCTGGGCCTGCCCCGTGATGAGTGCAAACTATGACAGCTACTAGGCGCTGTGCTGCAGTTCCATGACCCCAGGAGGCTGGGACAGTTGCTATCCCCAGTCTATGAAGAGAAGACACCCCCAGCAGTCAAGTAACTTGCCCAAAGTCACACTGCTCCATCTGGTTCCAGATCCGTGCTCTAAACTGCCAGGGATGGAAGAGGACCCAGCGCGGTCACCCAGGCATGCTCGTTACCTCCCCCATGAAGCTCTCCCCAATCCCTCCTCCTTCCACGGCGCCCTCGCCATCCTCTGGCTGTGGCACCTGCCACATCTGATGGCGCCAATTCATGCCTCTGCCTCTCCCAGTACCTGTGGGGTCTGGGAAAGCAGGGCTGGTGTCCAGCCCATTGCTGGGCTCCCGGAGGAGGGGTCGGTGAGCAACTGATGAACAGATATGTGCTCCCAAGACAGGCACAAGGAGCACAGAGGAGCACAGAGGAACTACCCCCAACCCAGGGGCCAGAGAGATCCAGGCAGCCCCTGGCCTGAGGGAAACTGGCAACGCCCAATGACTAGCTCTCTCTTCTTGGGGGTAGGAGCCCCCTCCTCCCCTCGCTTCCCCCCTCCCCTGGGGGCAGCCTGGGACCTGTCTCCCCCCTCCTCCCCTCGCTTCCCCCCTCCCCTGGGGGCAGCCTGGGACCTGTCTCCCCCCTCCTCCCCTTGTTTCTCCCTTCCCCCGGGGGCAGCCTGGGGCCCATCCTCATGCCCACGGAGGGCAGGGCGAGAACAAGTGCACCGAGAGCCAGTGAGCAGCCAAACACACAGTCAGGCTTCCTTCAGGCCTCACCTGCCCACTCTTTCCCCGGCCCATGGTGGCTGAGAACAAGAGGGAGGGCCTGTCTCTGTCCTGCTCTGAGTCCCAGCCCCCCATCTTCCCTTGCTCACCTCATGCCTTTCTCTCCTGGTAGAAGGTGCTTCCTAGAGCCCAGCTCCTGTCAGAGCAAGAAGCCCAGCTGGGGCCCTAGGCTCAGCCACAGCTAGCCCTGGATTGGAGGGGCCAGGAGAGATTAAGGCTCGGGCAAGGCTGAATCACAGAGACATCTCTCCTATCTCTCCTCAGGAAGTGGCCAATCCCTGAAGAACCACGGGCAGGAGGCCTCCCCACCAGTTTCCGAGGAGGGAGGCAAGGCTCTGTGAGCACCTGCGACCGGGTCCACTCGCAGCATACCCGCCCCGGCCTCCTCACCCTGTCCTATCAACATTCTGCCCATGTTACAGATAAGGAGACGGAGGCTTGCCTAAGGTAACCAGAGGCCCCTGATAGGGCCAGGCTGCTGGAGGTCCCCAGGAAGTCCCAAGGCCCGAGTAGAAGGTGCCTACCAAGAGTCGATGGCCTACCCTGCGCGACCCAGATGGAGGCAGGGCAGGAGGGAGGATGTGTGGGGCTGGGCTCTGTCCACCCCCCATCGGGGCCCTTGGGCCTGGCTTGAAGGAACAGGGGGGTGGGGAGGTGGAAGAGTGAGAGATAAGGGGGAGAATTAGGAGATAAGCAGGCTGAGCTTCGGGCAGAAAGCAAGAGGGGTCACAGTGACCCGGCTGGCCAAGCCCTGGGTGCAGCAGACTCTGTACCCAGACCTCAGACCCCAGGAGTGGGGGCAGCCCTGCCCACGGGGCTGATAGGGGCGGCAGGGCAGAGAGATGCAATATTGGCTAAGCCCTGGTGCCCTGTGCCCTCTGTTTGAGTCCCCACTCAGCCAAATATCCTCCTCCGCCCTGATTTTCTGTTCTGAGAAACTGGAAAAATAAATCCTCCCTCTTTTGGTTAGAGAAGACATATGAGCACAGAGGTGTCCGTTGTGAAAGGCTCTGTGGGCCCATGGTGGACTCTCCTGCAGATGCTGCCCCAGCTGAGGTTCCCATCTACCCCCAGCCAAACGGACTCTTCACTTGCTCTTCCTCTAGATGGACAGATGGACACATAAAGACACCAAACTCCAAAACACTGCCCACACAGATGAGAGCGCGTGCACACACACACACACACACACACACCTCTTTTTATTTTCAAAGAAAACCAGAAGGCCCTAGCTGCCAGCCCTCTCCACAGGAAAGCAGGTGGCTAAGAGGCTCACTTAACCAAAGAGGGTGGTTTTCACCTTCCTTAGCTTTCTCCTGAAGCAAAGGTTCCTCCTCTGCCCTCGGACCTCCCTGGCACCCGGGGAACAAGGACATGTGCCATCCTGGCCCTGGGGTCCCTTGCCGGCCTGGCCTGTCTGCCCAGCCACCAGCCGCCCACCCCTCCTGCCGGTCTGCCATCAATCTTCCCGGAGCCTTGACACTTTGCAGCCTGCCCTGGAGAAGGGGTATTTATGGGTGCTGGGCTGACCTCCCTCCCAGCAGGACCCCCCTCCGGAGCCCCCTGGGGTCTGATCCGTCTGGCAGCCGAAGGCCAGCGGGCTCTGTAATTCTCCGGGAGCTGACATGCCACGGGCCGGCCACGGCGCTCTCCCGGCCGAGTGGTCGGCAGGCCATCGTTTGTCAGCCCGGGACTGACAGAGTTACTGCTGTTTAAATGAAACCATATATCTGAGCAGTTCAATCTGTTGCCAGTCGGGGGCCTCCGAGCTGGATGTTGAGGGTGAAGTGATGTCAAGATGGGTCATTAGGCACTCTTGGCCCTCACCTCCCCCTCCCTGATTCCTATCTGGCGTCCTCCCGGCCTGTCCTTCCTGGGAACTGTCCAGGGAGGCTGACTGCCTGGGCCGACACACTGCCCTCCACCGAGCAGAGCCGGAGCGGGGATAGGGGTCTCTGCCACCACGTTGCTCCACAGTTGCTTTCTAAGCCCAGGGCAAGGTGGCCGCGCAGCTTCTCCCAGAGCCCTGGGGCCCAGAAGAGCATGTGGATGGCCTATGCGTTCTCAGCCCTCCCGGCCTGGCCCGAGTACCTCCTGCAAGTAGAGATTACAGGGGACAGCAGCAGAGGGCACAGGAAGGAAAGGAGCTACCCTGCAGCCTACCAAGTGCTCCCGTGTGCTGCGCCCTGTGCGGGACTCCTGGCCCCTCCAGGCTCACTAAACCCTCGCTACAGGTGCGGGCATGCATTGTGGGCTGATGTCATGTCAACCCCCCGCATTTTATAGACGAGGAAACCACGGCCCAGAGGAGCAGTCCTTTGCCCACAGTCACTCCCGTGGTAGGTGGCAGAGCTGATGGAGCTGGAACTTGAACACAGGCTTCTCCAACCCTGGCCTTTGTTATTAACTTCTCTGTCACTGTCAACTCCAACACACTGCGATTGGGTGAGATGAAAAACAGAGACAGAGGGACATCTAAGCCGGTAGAGAGAATGGAGGAGGAGAACCCCAAGAGGGCATCCGGGCTCACAGCATCTCTGGCAGCTCAGCAAAGACCCCAGGCCCGGCCCTCGGCGGTGAGATGTCATCAGCATCACAGGGGGCTGAGTGGCCTCTAGGGAAAGTTCAGGCTCTGTGGTAGGAGCCTTCTCTGCCCCAGGACGGGGTGGCCCCCCACTAGCCCTGGCTCCTGGTCCAAGCTCTGCTTCTGACCCTGCCAACCTCTCTGGACACAGAGGACCACCTGAAACTCCCTGACACATGACACCTTTTCGTATTTCTAGGCCTTTCCCTATGCTGTCCCCCCTTCCTGGAATGTCCTTAACCTTCTCAGACTGCTTTCTGGAAAGGCAGAGATCAAAGAAACCCCTGATTTCCTTAGATAGAGCCATTTGTGCTGCTGCTGGGCCCCACTGGCCCCCTTCCATCGCTCCCAGAACCCTGGGCGGCCTGCACTGACCTCATCTGTGTGCCTGTCTGTCTCCTCCAATAGCCTGGCTGCCTCCTGGGTCCAATTCATTCCAAGGTCCCCACTGCCCTGCCCAAGTGCCCCATCCTCAGAGCTAGAGAGCTCCCACTCTGTCTCCCAAGATGTATTCTGCCTGGAGGTGGGGGGTGGGGTTGGTGAATGGTCCCAGAAGGGAGAACAGAGTCACTCAGCACCATTCCCGTTTTTCGGCTTCCCCACCTCTGGCTTTGCAAACAGACACCAGCCAGGGCTTGCCGGACCAGTAGGAAAGAAGTTCCACATGGCTGATGAGGAGGCCCTCTAAGGGCTGGGCTGGTACTTATCTGCAAGGCTCCTTTACAGAGGATGGTGACCATGGTTCATATTCCTGGGCTCGATTCAGAGATTCTGGGAAGGGGAAGCAGGAAGGTTTGGACCAGAGAGAAACCAGAAGCAGGAAAAAACACTCAGCAAAGCTGGGACAAAAGCACTTCCCATCCTGCGTGAAAAACCCCAAGAGACTAGGAAGGCGGCCAGAGGAAGTGCCCTGCCCCTGGATCCAGGGTTCTGGAAAGCCAGGAATGCTCTGCTCCTCCTCCCCTCCACACTGGGGGCTCATGGGAAGTCTGGAGGGGAAGCTGGCAACCAACCCAAGGGTCCTGGGATCTTCATCCCCAACCAGGGCCTCCAGCCAGGAGTGAAAGGCAGATGGGATTGTTCAAGGCCCTGCCTCTCATCCCATCCATGAGGTTGGCCTAGAGAGGGGGCATGGGTGAGAAGTCCCACCCTGCGGCAGATACAGGGCACATCCCCAGACCCTCCATCGTCGAAGCAGGAATCATCATCACCAACTCTTGACTCCCAGCGTAACCCAGGGCCCAGCCCCACGATGCCTCAAGGGCTCGCAGCACCCACCTTCTGTCTTACCCTGCCCGTGCCCGGCCCAGGCAGGCAGTGCCCCCGGCCCATCCGGCCATATGCCCCTGGAGGAAGCCCAGGCGTCAGTGCTGACAATGCTGCTCAAGGCTGCAGTGGCTCCAGCAGGGAGGGCAGAGGGCCCTGCTGTTTACATCCAGCCCCGGAACAGCCAGGGAGGCCGGCCGGGGAAAGCCAAACAGCGACCAGCCTGGACTAAAGACGGGTCTGTGCCCAGGCCATCGAGGAGGGCTGGGCCACGCCTGGGCTCAAGGGGCCTCAGAGGTTGGCAGAGCACCCCGTTCACAGGGAGCCAGGGCACCAGAGGGGCAGATCCCAGGCCTTGGGCCCTTCAAACCGCCAGGCAGGAGGGCTGGGAAGTTCTTCCCTATCTGGCCTCAGTTTCCCCTGTGGCTTTCTTGCTTACTTTAGCTGCAGGTACTTCAATCCAGGGGAAGGGAAGCCTTGCAAAAAAGGAAGACTGGCTCCTTTGGGAAGATCAGTGACAGGCCCCACAGTCCCCCACCTAGTCCCCACTGCACACACAGACACATGGACACACACACACACGAGACCAGCCATCATGCCCAAGAGATGCAGGGACAGCAGGACCTTTCACCTTAGCTGGGAAGGAGGACGTCCACAAACATTCCAAACACTGAGACACTAAGACCCCCACCTATGACATTTCAGGCTAGCAGGGATTGGTGGCCTCTCCAAATGGGAGGACAGGATCAGCTGTGTCCTCTTCTCAACACCCGGCTGGGGCAGCCAGAGACAGCCTCCAAAAGACTCAGCTAGTCCTTTGGGGGAGCTCAGGGTCTCAGAGGAAGAGAGATAAATGCCTACGGAGACCCTGACCAGATGAGAAAGGAGTAGAGACCTAGAGGGCTGGAGAAACAGAGATGCAGAGAGAGAGCACACCAGGGAGAGAGGGACAAGAGAAAGAGACAGAGGCGGAGATAAAGAAGCACAGTCTGTGACAAATAGAGACTCAAGAAACAGAGAAGAAAAGAGAGCAGGAGGGGTGAGGGAGAGGGAGCGAGGGGCAAGGAAGGCTGTGATGGGCCAGAAACACTCCTCAGTGTCCCCAGCAAGGCCTCCCTGTGCCCCAATACTGCCTGCAGCCAGTGGGCAGGACAGCTCCATCCAAGGGGTAACTGGGACTGAGGCTTGGGAGCCAAGAGGACACCCCAGACCCAGCGGCCAGCCAGGCGGGAGGAGGGACTCACCTCCAGCTCCTTGAAGACCATGCACCTGCGTGCCCAGTCCACGATGGAGATGAAGGTCTGGTCAGCCATCCTGCACAGGAGGCTGAAGGGCGCAGGCTGGTCAGGGCGGCCTTTGGCTGGTTCCTGCAGGCAGCCCACAATGCGCGCCCGCACCTGGTCCTCATCTGGCTCCAGCTGCAGCAGCTGCAGGATGAGCTCGGGCACACCAGGCCCTCCGGAGAAGGGCTCTGGGTAGCCATAGGGTGGCCCAGGCTGCGGGGGACTGGCATAGGGCTCTGGGTACTCAGACTTGATGGCACGGCCAGAGAAGGTGGGATAGAGGTAGCCGGCCAGCGGCCCGTGGGTGCTGGGCATGGCCATGGGCAGTGCTGGAGCCCCAAAGTCGCCCAGTGGCCCAGCAGGTGGACCAGAGGCCAGGCCCTTGGGCTCAGGTGCGTGCAGGCCAGGGGACAGCATGTAGTCCGGAGGCGGAGGGGGTGGGGGAGGCACCCCCATTGGGGGGCCTGTCTCCAGCTTAAAGCCATTGGCTCGAATCTGTGCCTTCTTCTGCTGCTTCAGGGCACGGTCTCGTTTGTACATGGGCCCGAACTTGTTCCGGCCACCCCGCATTCGGTCAGCACGCACAGCTGCGGGCAGAAGCAGAGGGTCAGTCCCAGCCCCCCCAAGCCACCTGCCATAAAGCCACACTCCCAGATCTTTCCCAAACTGTGTCACTTCCCCCACTCAGTACCTTTTTATGGCTCCCACTGCCCACAGATGAAGTCAGTCTCCTTAGCCTGGCATTCAAGGCCCTGTTTACCTCCTAGATCACCCTTTACAAGAGCCCATGTTCTTTCCACGCCACCTTATCTCCCTGCTCCTCCGCTTGGCACATCTCCTTCTTCCTCCACCCCGCCTTTGATATTCTTTCTGCCTCAAACCCTTTCCTTTTCTCATGCCTGCCAAACACCCAGCCCTAGGGTCACCACCTCCAGAAGTGTTCCTGGATTCATCTAGGCAGAATCCACTGTCCTTGCCCCAGATGTCCTGCCTCTTGTCCACTCTCATCCTGCTGAGTGGTATCATGCCATGTGACCCAGGCTGAGAGTTTCTGGGGACTCAGCAACGGGTTCAGGTGCCTAGTAGAAGGCCGAGCAGGGAGATGGTGGCAGGAAGCAGGCCCTCGTCACAGCCTTGCTCACAGCATCCAGCCCAGTCCCCGGTGTCCAGATGCTTCTTGACTCACTGCCCGACTCTGTCGAACCCCTACTGCAAAATGACTCGGGCTTTCCCCAGTGCCTTCAAATATGAAGCGGAGTTTAGGGCTGGCCCGGGTTCTGAGCTGGGAGAAGGGACCTCCCTGGCGGACCAGATGTCCCTCCGCCTGGCCAAGAATGTGTCACCAGCCAGACCCAACAGGTGCATCTCTGCAGCTGCAGTGTGGCCCCAGCCCCTGCTCAGACAGGACCCCACCCTGAGCTCTAGGAGAAGGGAGAGAGCAGGAGGGAGAGGGTGGTGCCCAGGAGGGGAGGCGTCCTGGAGGTCTGTTCAGCCGGTCTTCCTGCTGCAGGCGTGGAGAGCCCAGCTCTGCTCCCTCCGCTCCATCACTTGTGACAACTAGCTCCCCTGGCCCGGAAGGACCTGGAGCCAGGGAGATGGGGACATTCCCCTCTCATCTAGGAGTCCTTCCTCTAGGTGGCAGGACTTGGGGTCAGTGTCTCCCAGAGCCACTAGGAGCCTTCTGCACTGTTTAAAACTTTAGCCAACAGCTGCGTGCTCGGCGCACAGCCCGGCTGGGGCCAGCAGGGTGGAAGCCTACGACTGTTCACCCTCAGAAAGTTTGAGGTTTTCCTCCCCTCTGGGCTGAGAGGTGGGAGGCTGGGGGTGGGAAGGCGGGGATGGGCCTGGGTCCTCTGGGACCAATTGTCCCCCCTTCCCTCGCCCTCTCAGGGCCCTCCCAAGAACATGGTGGAAGGACTTTCACCCACCAAGCGAACGACCTGAGTGAACTTTTGGATGGCCAAACAGATGGGTGGGCTGGATGAATGACGGCTGTGATGATGGACAGATAATAACATAAACAATGATAATAATGGCAGTTCCTATGTGCTAGGGTTTCACACAATTCCCTCGCACTGACTCAAGGAGGAAGACACTATTGTTAGGTCCACTTTTCAGATGGGGAATCCGCAGCTCAGGAGGTTAAGGAAATGGCCCAGGGTCCATCAGCCTGTGCCTGGTGGCACTGGGACTTGAACTCTGTCTCCTAAAGGTATTAAACGCCCTGGCCCCAGCGGGAGTGTTGTAGGTCTCCTTGCAGAGGGAGGAGGTCTGCCCGGTGAAGCACACCCTCTCCGAGGCTGGAGAGAGGGTCATCTCCCCGGTGTTCACTTTCGGATACCTCTCGACCCAAGCCCGCTGAGCCTGCCCGCATCCCCTCACCAGGCGGAGCCACTCCTCACCCCTCACCCCGCAGAGATCCGGCCCTCCCGTCACGTGAGGGGCCAACAGTCCGCTCCAGAAACTTGAGGAAGGCCACGGGAGCCCTCCTCTCACCCCTTCCACCCCCCCCCCGCACCCCCGAGCCCCGCTGTCAGGGGTCAGCGGTGGGAGGCCGCCGCGCCTCGCGCCCACCTTCCAGGCGCATCCCCACCGTCAGGCACTTCTGGAAGCGGCAGAAGGGACAGCGCTTGCGCTGCGTCTTGTCGATCTTGCAGCTCTGGCTCTCGGTGCACGTGTAGTGCTTGTTGTTCTGCACCGTGCGCTTGAAGAAGCCCTAGGGGAGAGCGGAGTCAGCGCGGGAGGCGGCCAGGCCCCGCGTCCCTGTCCCCGGGCCCGACAGGGCTTGTCCCCGCGTCGCGGCCGCTCGCCCGCCCTCCGAGAGCCTAGCCCGGCCGGCCCGCCGCCCGCCGCCCGCTCACCTTGCAGCTCTCGCATGTGAGCAGCCCGTAGTGGTAGCCGGACACCTTGTCCCCGCACACGGGGCACAGCTCATCCAGGTCCTCGTCGTACGAATAGTCCATGCCCGCGGCGTCCGCCTGCGGACGGAGGAGAGGGTCACGGCGGGCGGGACGCGACCGGCAGCGCGGCAGGCCCGGGGCCCGCGGGGTCGGCGCCCCCGCGGCGCTGCCCGCCCCCCGTTACCGCGCCCTGGGCGAGGCCGCCCGTTGCAGGGCACCCATTCGAGCGCCCTGAGCAGCCCGCACTGGGATGCGGCCCGAGCGGCCCGCGCCTCGGCCTTGACCGCCCCTGTCCCGTCGCTCCTGCTCCGCGCGCCCCCCGCCCCCTCTCCCGGGGGCTCCGCGGGCGAGGTCTGCGTCGCGCCGGATCTGGGACCCTCGGTTCGGTGCGCTCGGATCCGGATTCGTTCGTCTGAGAACAAAACCCCGATTCTGAGAAAACGAGATGGGCTCCGCCGCGGGGGAGACACCGGCGAACGCGGCCAGAGTGGGGCCTTGAGTGTTCTGGGGATCGGACAGGGACGAGGGGGACAGAGACAGGGTCTGGGGGAGACCGAGAGATGGGCCGAGCGAGAGCGAGAGATACCGACCGACGCTGCCTACGGAGCGAGTGCCCTGGGGCGACAGAGACAACGAAAATCCGAGACTGACAGAGACACACTGATGCGGGCAGAGAAAACGCGGGGGAGACGAGACAGACAGAGAGACACGGGGAGGGAGAACGAAAGAGAGAGAGATCAGAGACACCGAGAGGCAGAGGCCCAAGAGAAACCCTGAGAAAGGCAGACGCAGAGCCAGAGACAGCGGTAGACGAGAGACAGCCCGAGACGCGGAGAGGCGAGAGAAGCCCGGGAGAGAAGAGGCAGAGAGGGGGACAGGGACACCGAGGGAGAACCTGGAGAGACGGAGGCGCCCAGCGAGGGGGCCGGGCCGGGAAGACGCGCGGAAAGCGGCCGACGCGGGCGCCCGGGCTCCGAGGCGTGGCCCCCGCAGGGTCGGACGCCGCCGGGGGCTCGCGCCGGGAGAGGCGGAGAACGACGGCGCCCCGGACCGAGAGCCCGAAAGCGCCGAGCCGCCGGGGCCCCCGGGCTGGGAGAGACAAAGCCCGCGGCAGCGACGGCAACGGGAGGCGCGGCCCGTGCCGCCGAGACCGAGACGTCGGGCGGAGGGAGGGCGCAGCGGAGACGCCGGGTGCGGAGTCGCAGGCCGGGCGCGAGGCGCAGAGACCTCGGGCGGAGACACCGCGGGCTCCGCGGGGCCGAGCCCGAGGCGGCGGGGAGCGACCTCGGGCGGAGAGTCGAAGTCCCGCGGAGGGAAGCGCGCAGAGCCGGGGCCCAGGAAGCGAGAAGGGGCGCGACGGCGGCCGCGGCCCGCCCGGCGCCCACCTGGAGGCTCCTGCGAGCAGCAGCGCCCCGCGTCCCGCCGGCGCGGAGCCCCGCACCTCCCGGCCGCGCCGCCGCCGGCGATGAGCCGCACCCGGGCGCAGCGCCGCCTGCCCGCGATGACTGCCGATCGGGCCGGGGGCGGGGAGGCGGGGGCGCGGGGCCTCGGAGCCTCCCCCCACACACCAGCCTCCCCACCCCCCGCCGCGTCCAGGGCCGCCCCGAGGCGCACCTGGGACCCGGGCCCCTCCGCCGCCAATGCGCGCTGCGCGAACCCGCCTCGCCGGGGCCAGGGGCCGGCCCCTCTATATCAGCGCGTGCGGTATCCGGGGGCGGAGGCCCGGCCCGCGCCCTCCCCCGCCACCCAGCCCGGCGAGCGCCTTTACCCTCACCCTCTCGGCCCCCCATTCCCAGCCCGGGCGCCTCGGAATCCGGGCAGGTGCTGGGCGCCTGGGAGCCTCAAGCCACCCCGGAGGCGAGCCCCTGTTTGCTCATCCAGCTTAGTCGTGGCAAGGGCCACGCTGGGGGCGCTGGTCAAAGTTTTGCAACGTGGAAGTGGGTAAGGGCGAACGTGGGGGTCCATGGCCAAGGCACGGGTTCAAGGCTAGAAACCAGGTTCGCGCCCTGGCCCTGCCATATTTCCTCACTGGAGAAGCAAATCTAGACACACACACACACACACACACACACACACACACACACGTCACACACACACGTCCTCAGTTTGCTTATCTGCGAAGCGGTAATGATGACTGGACTTCTTTAAGGGTGGGCATGCGGGTGAACCCAAGAGGTGTTGGCAAAACGCACGCCTTAGCACTGCGGAAGCGACCAGTAGTACCCAGCTGGGCGACCAGGGGCAAACCCTTTCTCTGCTGTAGGCCTCAGTTTGCTTGGCCGGAAATGGGAATCCTCCGAGGTCTGGCGAGGACCTGAAGCCACGGAGGGCGCGGGAGCTAGGAGAACAGAGGGACCCCCTTCCCCCTTCCCGTTCTGAGCCCTTCCCCGGGCTAGGGGAGGGGGTAGGGAGCGTCCGGCATCCCCGGGACAAAGGGGTTGCCCGGGCCGGGCTACGCTGAGCAATTGCTCTGGGTGGGGAAAGGCTACCCGGCCACTCTCATTTTTCAGATGAAGAAAATTGAGACCAGAGAAAGCGGCCTGCTCTCGTCTTGCCCCCGCCCCCCTCCGCGGAGAAGAGTATTGAGATCAGCAAGGCCAAAAAGCCGCGATCTTCAAGCCGGGGGTGGAAAAACCACAGTTTGGCACCCGCAGCGACGCAACCGACCGATCTGAAGGCTCTGGCCCTTAGCCTCGGCCAACTTCGTCTGGGCCCCCGACCAGAGCCTCCCCCGACCCGAGCCTCCCCCGCCACCCGGCTTGGGTTGGAGTTGGCACCTTGGTCCTGCGAGCCGAGGCTGGAGACCCCGCGCAGACCATTCCTCCTATCTTTCACCCCGCGGAAGAAAGGGCGGAATAAGCAGCCGACTTGCTGTGCAAGCTCAGCAGGGTCACTTTGCTTCTCTGAGCCTCAGTTTCTCCGCATGTAAAATGGAAAAGTTCGGCCCTGCAGAAGGGGTTCTGCAGTTTCCGTGAGATGCCGTGGCCGAATCTTGGTGAGAAAGGGGAGAGAGCCGAACCTGAGCCTAGCCGCAGACTCCCCACATGGGACCCCTGAGAAACACTAGCGTCTGCGGAGCTGGAGGTGAGGGAGCTGGCGCCTCTGAACAGCTCTCCGGCGGGGAGGGGCCCTCAGAAAGTGGAAAACAGGACGGGTACCACCTCTGTAGGGGAGTGAAGGGGATTGAGGGGGAGGGCTGGAGTCTCCTGGACATTGCTGAGGAAAACTCAGGCAAGGTAAGCACGAGTCTCAGCTGGGGACCCAGGTGGTCTAGGGGGCTGGGCCCAGAGCCCGCTCTCCCCTTCTCTCTCCACCTCTAGCTCCTTTTCTCCAGAGGCTACACTACCAGGCTGGGAGCCCTGAGGTTGACCCAGGCTCCATTGCACCCACCCTCACCCACGTACCCAGGGAAGGAAACATCGATCTGGACCAGCCACGGAACGAGAACTGACAGACGGACATTGAAGACAGACACACAAATCCATACAAATCCACGGAGACAACACAGAACCACAAGCAGGGAGACCCAGAGACCCAAAGACAGACCCAGGGACCATGGACACATTCACGGACTGCTAGGCTTGGGCCAACACAGCCCTATGAACGCTCGGCCACTAGTAGACAGAGGGACACCGCAGACCCCCATGGGGCCTGTCCCCATAGGCCTAGCTCCTCCCATCAGCTGCCCAGGGAAGAAGAGGGGGTAGCATGATGGGAGGGCAGGTCCGGGGCAACCTCTGGCCCCTTCCCTGCCCAGAGCAGCGGGCATCAGTCACTCAGCCGAGCAGGCAGTGGCCGGCGCAGGCCGCAGGGAGGCACTGAGGCGGGAGGCTGGCCATTAGAGGCCTGGGCCCAGGCCCTCACTTACGGAGCGGAAGGAGAGCTCTCACGCCGGATGAGGGTGGACAGTGGGCACCAGGGGTCCGAGGGAAGGCTCCGGCAGCCCAGGTGGGGCAGTGGTGACCGTGGGCACACAGGAACTCCTTCACGCCACGGCGGGCGGCAGGCGGACAGTAGGCTGGCCCTGTCCGTCCGTCCTCCTCCTCCCCGCCGGGGGGGGGGGGGGCACCGGAGGCCCAATTGGTCTCTGCCCCCACGTGACTCTGCAGGCCTCTCTCCTTCTTTGTTGGTGTTTCTCTTCATTTAGGCCTATTTTTTTCTTCTCCTAAAAGAAAAAAAAAATACCCCTATCTATCTGGGGGCCGCGGTGGGGGTGGAGGCCAAGGCACTCTGGAGGCCTTGGCCAGCTGGATGTTCCAGGCCGCTGTGGGAGCCCAGAGGCAGGGACCCCATGTAGGCGGTTAGGCAGCCCCGCTTGTTAGTGACTGGGTGGGAGTGGGGCCTGATTTATGGGCGGCTCCCCCACCAGGCCTGCAGCCTGGCCTCTCTCCCCTTGGATGGCTACCTCCCTGGGGCCTGGCCCGGCGGGGTCCGGCCTGGCCCAGACTTGGGAGTGGAGTCAGGTTGGGCTGGAGCAGAGGCAGGGGCATGGATGACTTGACCAGGTGGCTCTGCTGCTTTGGCTTGATCTTTTTACTCTTCCAGAAGGTGAAGAGAGGAAGAAGGGAATGGAAGGCAAGCAGGTGAGCTGACTGAACACCTCCCGTGTGCATTTCTCGTTGGCTGCTCTGAATGTCACCATCTGCTGGGGGCTGCTGATACTCCCAGTGGATAGCTGGGAAAGTTGAGGCTGGTCTGAGACTGCCTCCAGGGCCAGGTGGTTGCCTGTAGTGGTCGCAGGTTGGGCCAGGTGGGTAGCTAGGCCAGGATAGGGCAGGGCAGAGGGCAGGGGGTTTTGTCTAGAAGGCCAGGCCTCCCCACACAGCCAGGGATGTCCCTGTCCAACCTCCAGGCCCAGACTGGTCCTGAACTGTCCTGGTTCCATAGGGGCCCAACTGTTCTGTTTTGCATCCCTCTGCTGCATGACACCCTCTTTTGTGCATTCCTTCATTCGTCTCTATTTCCTGAGTGCACACTAGATGCCAGGCACTGGTCTGGGAACTGGGGAAAAGGGAAGAAAAAGGAAGAAGTTTCTGTCCTTCTGTCCTATAGGCATTGGTCCTGGGGGTTGGGGAGGGACACAGGGGGCCATGGGGCAATCACTGTTGAGAACCCTCACCACACTCCTTCATTTGAGGAACAGGCCCATCATACAACATCTCACTTATCTGGCTTGGGAGGAGAGGGATTTTCTGGATAACTGAAGTCGACTATATTTAAAACCTAGAGTGTCTTCCTCATTGTGCCACTTAACACATTAAAAAAAAAAAAGATTTCTTTATTTTAGAGAGAGTTTAGAGAGAGAGAGAGTGCAGGGGGAGGGGCAGAGGGAGAGGAAGAGAAGCAGACTCCCTGCTGGGCATGGAGCCCCTTGCCAGGCTCCGTCTCACGACCCTGAGATCATGACCTGAGCCGAAATCAAGAGTTGGTCGCTCAACTGACTGAGCCACCCAGGCGTCCCCAACACATTTTTTTTATTGTGAATACATACGAGACAAAAATCTCATTGACAGTCATAAGGAACTGATTCTATGGATTAAATATACAGTAGTGTCCCCTTATCCGTGGTTTTGCTTTCCACTGTTTCAGTTACCTGTGATCATCCGGGGTCAGGGAGTAGATGATCTTCTTTGTGACGTGTTCTTAGAAGGTCAGCACGAAGCAGCCTCACGCTACGTCACAGCGCCTCCACCGTTCGGCCCACCTCCCATCACGTAGGCATTTTATCATCTCACAAGAAGAAGGGTGAGTACGGTACACGATATTTTGAGAGAAACCACAGGCACATATCTTTTATTACCAGTATGTTGTTATACCTGTCCTGTTTTATTATTAGTTATTGTTACTGTGCCTAACTTATAAATTAAACTTTATCATAGGGATGTATGTACAGGAAAAAGCATAGTGTATATACAGTTCAGTACTATCCATGGTTTCAGGCACCGGGGGCGGGGGAGAGGGTCTTGGAACACATCCTCTGCCAATAAGGGGGACTACTATATTCTAATTCTAATTTCTACGTATGACATAACATATAACTTATTTCCCAACATGCATGACCTCCTAATTATGTCTTTTTCACCCACTGAAGTTCTTACAAGATGTATTTCTCTTGCATCTGACTGAAGCTAACTAATCTCCCCCATTTCAATGCAATGATTTTGTTTCTGGATTAATACCATTCATCCTCTGAATTTAAAAAAGAAATATCTCGGCAAGCACCTTTACCTCACCGACATGTCACATACATGTAATGACAACAGTCACAGTCCTTTGCACCTCCTTTGATGGGAGACTGTGAAATGGGGTCTACTCGCACTGCCTTCTTAAACAGGGTCTTTCAACACTGTGGCGCCATGGAAAGAACTAGATTGACGTGGTCAGTCTCCTGGTGAGGCTCCGAGTCCTGAGAAGGAGAAATGTGAGGGATTAGTGGTGGAGACTCTGGCTTAAATCCCAGTTCTGCCATTTCCCAGCTGTGTGACCTGGGACCGGTCACTTCTCTCTCTGGGCCTCCCGTCCTCTCCATGAAATGGGGACAAGATGAGACAATGCATGCACCACACTCAGTGGCTGCCAGGTCTGTCATGTGTACGCAATGTTAGCAAAACACAAACACCAAGCCGCGGGCCTGGCGGGTCTGCCCTCGGGGGCCCTTTCGGTCTGGAGTGTGAGATTGCACCATCAGCCTGAGCACTGCTAGCCCTTCTGTGATAGAGTGACTCACCGCAGCCTGGGGAACCCTCAAGGAAGGGCTCAGGGCTGACTGATCTCTGGGTCCACAGGGGCCAGCCCAGAGTCAGCGTCAGTGAGCATCTGCTGAATGCCCACTTGCCTCTGCACCAAAGGCCCCACATGCTGCCTGTGGGGGTGGAATTCCGCCGCCTGGCCCTCCTGTCCTGTTGCCTTTTCTGTAGGCGGTCGGCAGACACTTTCCACCGCTCAGACTGGGCACTGCTCCCCTCTGATCGCCCTGGATATGTTTATGGGCACCCCCTTCCTCTGCGCTGCCCCTCCTCGGCCCTCACCCCTACTGGGTGAGGCAGGCAGGGAATGGCGAGGCCCTAACACAGAGGTGCCTAAGCGCCAGGTCCCCTGCTATTCCACACCTGTGGTCAGCCTCCACCATCCTGGGAGGTCCCCTCATCTTCCATGAGCAGCATTTGAGAGATGAAGAAACTCGGGTTCAGGGAGACGAGGTATCTTCGCAAAGTCACAAAGCAAGGAAGGGTGTGATGGAACTAGGATTTAAATCCAGGCAGTGGGCTTGCAGAGTCAGTGTCCTCTCCCCTCTGCCAGAGCCCCTGGGTGGCCCATTTATCTTTTCCTTCAAGCTCCAGCCCAGGTGGTCCCAGGCCATGAGACCCACCCGGAGGGGAAGGAGAAGGGGTGACCCAGGCTCCCCCCCCCTCCCAAGCAAACAAAGCCCAGGGTCTCTCTTCTAAGTGGGGACTTTCCCAAAGTGCCAGGCCTATTTCCTGGTGATGGAACAAGGAACAAACAAACTAGAGACCTAGAAACTGAAATGGAGAGGAGAAAGAGAGAGAATCAGGCTGGGGTTGGGGCACAGTGTAGAAAGACAAAGAAAGAACCCACAGAGAGATGAGGCAGAAAATGAGAGAAGAGAGACCCACTGACAGCATACCAGACCCAGACATGGTCGGAGCCGGGAGGCAGAGAGGAAGGGAGAGAGGTTGGGGGGGGAGAGAGGGAGAGAGAGAGCGTGGGACAGAGGAAGGAGAGAGAGGGAGAGGCAGAAAGAATGAGAGCCATTTAGAATGAGAGAAAGGAGAAATGGGGGAGAGGGAGACTGAGGCAGAGAGTGAGAAGAGAGCAGGGCAGGGCCGGGAGCAGGAGGCAGAGGGGCTGTGGACGTGGAGACCCCGGCAGGGCCGTGGAGGGGGCGGGGCTGTTGGCAGCAGTGGAGGCTGTTTCCGCTGCACCCCTTATCAGCCTGCTGCCAGATGTTCAGATCCGATGCCAATGTCAGAGAAGTCCATAGTGCCAGGTCAAGGCCGTGGCCAGCGGGAGCCTCAGCTGCAGGCTGGGGAGGGGAGCTGGGGGACGGCAGTAGACCTGCCTGCTCTTCTCCCTGTGCCTCCTGGTTCTCTGGACTGGTCCACATGGGGGGGGGGGGCGGGGGACACCAGGTGCCCGTGGGGGCTACTTCTCTGGGCCGAGAGCAGGGACTTGTGGAGGCAGAGTGGGGCTCCCGGCAGCACGTGGACACATACATGTGCGCAAGCCCCCACGTGTGTGGAAGCACGTGGACACAGGCCCGCAGACCCGCATGGGTGCACATGAGGGGCCCACTCACGGGCGGGTGCGCAGCTCTCCTTGGCTGGAGCCCCCCTGCTCTGCCTGGTCACCCCCTCACCTGAGCCAGGGCTGCAGCTGGAGCTGGAGAAGTAAGGCTCTGTGGCTGGCAGGGGTCCCAGGGCCCACCCTGCTCTTTTACAAAGGGGACACTCATGGAATCTGCACGCCCCTAAGGGCTGGACTGAGGGACTGGGACCTTCTAGAATCCGATGCCTGGTGAAGATCCTCGGGAGGAGGCGCAGGAGCTGGGTGTCTGGCAGGGCTGGGGCTTCAGCCTTGGGCCTGGGCCTCTCCGCCATGCTCCTGGAGCGTGCAGCCGCAGCTGGGGCCCCCTGCCTGGGATAGTTTATCTCTCAGCACACACGCTTGGCCCTCAAGGGGTGACCCAGCCTTGCTCCCCACATTCCTCTCCAGCCACGCAGCCAGTGGGCCCCCCACAGCCCTGAGACATGGCCTATACTTGGGGGGTGGTCAGGAGCAACCACTCAGAGCCATCTCGCTGACCTCTTGGCCCCGGCCCTTTGCAGCTGTCTCTTTGTTTTTCTCTGCTTTTGTCTCTGAGCATCTCTCTAATGTTGTCTCTGCCATGATTAATCTGTGTCTACCACTATTTTTGCCTCAGTCTTTCTCTGGGAATGTCCCAGTTTGTTTCTCTCTGTTTCAGTCCTTAGTCTGTCTCTCTCGGGTCCTTGAGCGGGGCCAAGTCTGAGGATCCCTCTGCTCTGCTCTCTGCCTTACAGTGACCAACTTCAGTGGGAATGTATGTGAGAAACAAGGCTGTGGGCAAGGGGACAAAGGGCCTGGACAAGTGGAGGCCCTAGGCCTGTGATGGGTGAACTGGGGCAGCCCAAGTAGAAGTCCCGAACCTCCCCTGCCACCCACCCGCTGAGAGTCAGCCCAGATAAGGGACACTGATCAGGGTATGCAGCTGGTGGGCTCCCCCATGTAGAGAAGACTGGGCGGGGGGGGCGGCTGGTGTAGGAGGAGGGAGCTGGGGCTGGAGGTCTCCTGGCCTGAGGGCCTCCTTCCTGTTTGTTGGGAAGTGGCTGCCTCAGAAAGCTGCTCAGGGGAGAGGAGGGAGGCCATGGTGACTTCCGGGAAGCTGGCCAAGGGCCCGAGGCCACCCTCCCTGTGCCCACATGGGGCCTGCTGGCCCTGGCTTAAAATAGTGCTGTTCCTCTCCTGCTGCAGGGCCCGGCCCAGGCCTCAAAGGGCTGCTGGCTGCTACTTGACAGCCAGGGCCTAGGGTGGGGGGTGGGGATGGGGGGGATTCGCCCAACTGCCCAGCCCTTCCCAGTCTGCAGCGGCCACGCCTCGACATTGTGGGTGGGGAGTTGCAGAGAAAGAAACCCTGGATTCGAGTGTCCGCTCCAACAATGGCCAGCTGGGAGACTTCGGGCTGGTCCATTGAGTCTCCTTGAGCCTCGGTTTCCACTATGTAAGATAGGGTAAGTGCCGGGCTTTTAACCTAAATGAGACCACAAGATGCAGACTCCTCAGAACCTTGCCACGCACAGAGCGGACACAAAAATGGGAGTTCCTTTTGCCTGTCTGCCTGCTGTGTCCCAAACTCCTCACTCTGAGGAAGGGCCTCCTTGGAGCTCTCCTCAGTTCCTACACTTCCCCTAGGACTAGGTATTGAACAGGGAAGGTCTGTGGAGAGGGAGATTGCAGGGAGGGCAAGGATGGGGCTGTGGTCTCCATGGTGAGACTTGTTGCCAAGGGAACAGGACTCCAAGAGCCCTGGGTCTGACAGTTGGGCACTTTTGCCACAGGATCTCAGACAGACTGATTACTACCGTGGTGGACCTAAAACGCTGGTGGGGAGGCAAACCAGAGAGGTAGCTTCTGGCTCTGCTGGGTTTTGGTTATTGGGGTCTCAGGGGCTGCAGCTCCTCATGCAGCTTTCTTATGGATTGACTTAATTAAGCCCCTACTTTGACCCAGCCACCGTGAGTTCTCCTTAACTCCTAAGACAAAGACATGTCATCTCCATTTATCTGACCAGGAAAGTGAGAGGTATCTATCTGGGTCAAGGCCACACACAACTGGTAAGGGGAAGAGCTAGAATTAGACCTCGGATGGTGAGAGCTCCTGATGTGCCTCTGTCACACAATCTCCTCAGGAAAATGGTCCTTGAGAGCGGGCTCCAGTAGCCACATCCAACCCGATCCCAACACCCTCCGCAAGCCTTCATTTCTGGGAGTTTCTGGCTTCAGGCTCTGACATATGCCAGAGCTCTGTTTCCTCTTCAGTTCCATAGAGATGATCTTATTTACCTCAGAGAGTTGTGTAAGGATAAAGATCTCAGCACAGATCCTAACAGGAGGCACTCAGTAGTGTTTGTTTATGTTCATTCCTGAGGTTACATATGAGTTATGTAACCTTGGGCAAATTACTTACCCTTTCTGGGTCTCGGTTTTCTTATCTGTAAAATGGGATCTTTATAGCATCAACTTCATAGGGTGGCTTGGAGGAAACAGTAATGTAATGCATGTAAAACGCTTAGTACTGTGCTTTGCATTGCTCCATATATGTTCACTGTTCTTTCAGATTATTGCCTGGCACTCAAGGAAATCAAAAGCTCAGCATTAGTTCAGTACCAATTCATAAATTTAGAGCAGTGTTCTAAATTTTATTCCACAGAACACTCTCCCAACGGAATTTTAACAGGAAGAAAAAAGTGTTCCATGCCTAAACACTTTTTTGGTAGGCCCTAGACTAGACAGAATTAGTTTTCTTCAGGCAAGACTTCTCAGAGCCTTTAATATGCCAACAAACGTTGGGAAGCAGTAAGAGGAGGGTAGAGGGAGTCCAGTGTTTCCCAGATTTTTGGCAATGGAATTCCTACTTTTTCCATGAAGCCATCTTGTTAGGTTGTCTATGTTGAGAAACCACAGATTTGGTGTCTATAGCATTCTATGTATTTTTGGGATAGCACCACTTTTCAGATGAATTTGGTTGGGTCTATTCAGTCACCTCTTACAGAAATTAATCCTTTATTAGTTTAATAGTTTTGTTTTGCTAATAGCAAGAAGTTCAACCAAAGGCCATTACTGAGTTTTGTTACAAACTCCAGACATTCATATTCAGCACTACTGAACTGCTCCCAGGCAGAGCAGGGAGGAAGCCCATTGTAACTTTGGTATCAGATAGACCTGGATTCAAAAGCAAATTCTGCCACTTACTCATGTGTCATCTTAGGCAAACAGCTTAATTTCTTTGGGCCTCAATTTGCTTATGTGTAAAATGGGGCTGAGACCTGAACCTTGTAAAACGGTTACGAGGATGACAGGAGACAATGCACGTAAATTTAGTGCCAAATCATAGGGCCTGGCACTCACGAGGCGTTCAGCAAATGTGTTTCTTCTCCTCCTTACACCTCTGTGTCTTATCTGTCCCCTCTTGTGGGGCAAGGAAGAGTCTATTAATTAGTTCTGCAGTGTTTCCTTTGTTCTAAAGCCATCTCTTTCAAACCTCAAGGGCTCTCTGGTCCCTTGTGCTAGAGGAGGCTGAGGTGTGGGGAGGCAGCTGGGCTTCCCCTCATTTCATACATGGGGATTTAATAGACTTTGATCAGACTCTCCTCAGCCTTTATGGTTTCAAACTGAGAAGGCTTCATCTTTCCTGTCTTCATATAACCCTCAACCCAAATTCTGCCGCTTCTCTGATCGTATGAACAGCAGGATTACAGGGCGGCTGGGCTTTGAAATTGGGTGGATCTGGGTTCAAGTCTTAACTCTGACACTTCCTGTGTGACTTCAGACACATCCCTTGATCTATCAGAGCCTCCATTTTCTCAGCTCTAGAAAACCTCATCTGTTTCCTGGAAAGACAGGTATTAATCGGCTGGACCATAGTGACAGAATAGGCAGGCCACCAGCAGCACACCGCTGTCACGGAGATGTAGCTCTCTTTCTGGAGACTTAGCAGATGGCTTTCCTTCCTAAACTTTTGAACGTGGCATCCAAGGTCCCCAAGTGCTTCTCCAACCTCAAGTCTTGCTATCCCTTCCATCTGCCACCATTCTTGCCATGGCAGTCCCTTGTTATACCTGAATATTCCATGTTTCTGATTCATAGCCAGATGGGCCTTCAAATGTGTTGTTGATCCCTCTCGCCTCTCCCCGGTCTAGCCTCCTCTGTCTAGTGCCTTTCTTCAAGAGCCGCCTTCAGTGCTCACCTGTGAAGCACTTCCTGAGTAGAACAAGCAGCTCCCTCCTCTAGATCCTTACAACCTCGTCCTTAATGACAGCTCAGTCCCACTGTACCACAAAGGTCTGTGTTTGCCTCCCCCACCAGACTAAGTTCCTCTAGTTGTGCAAATTTCTAACTGGGAGACCTTGAATGAGTCCCTTCACCTCACTTCAATAAAATAGAGGTAATAATCTTTGAAGTTCAAGGAGGTTCAGGCTTGTGAAAAGTCCCAACACAATACCTGGCACACAGAGCAGACACCTTATTCAGTACTGGTTCACTGATTCAAGCAGCCCTGAGAGAGAGCCCTCTGTCAGACCCTCAGCAATAGGAACGGTGTGGGTGTGAGCTACAAGCAGGACCAACAGGTCTGGAGACACCAGCCAGCTCCTTAGGACACCCCATTGTCCCTCCCTAGAACCCAAGACAAGCTTCACAGACAGAGGACATGTACAGAAGGATTCACATTTATTGGTTCAAATACAGTACCTAACATTCGCTAAACATGCATTTCACACTACTTGGTCACATTTCCACAGGTAGTCAATTCACAGCAAAGGGCCCATCCCTTGCCGGCTGGCAGGGGGGGAGGTAGCCGAGGGCCTGGGCAGCCTGCAGAGCCCACCAACTATTATTTGGTCATGCAGGGTTGATGGAGCCAGGCTGGCGGGCAGCCCTTGGCCGGCCCTTTGGGGACAAGGGCTCAGAGACATCCCATTTACGCGATTCCTACACTGGACTGTGGGTGCAAGCGGGCCTAGCATAGGTAGCCCAAGGATATGCTCACTGATTCATGTGCCACCGCAGCCCCTGAAGGTGGGGTTGTGAGAGGTGGTGCTCCCTGTGCCTTGGCTCACAGGAAAGAAATGGTGGCCTCTTCAAGGAGGTGGCTAGTCCATGGCTGGGCAGGTGGCTGGGACTCCCCAGACATGGCCCAGACATCACAATGCAGCCACAAGCCCCTATCGCAAGCCTGGGATGGCAACACAGACAAAAACACCAACACCCCAGGGCAGGCAGAGTTTCTTTCCCGACAGAAACATGTAAACAGAGCAGGAGCTAAAGTTTTCTTTTCCCACAGGATTCCTCAGAGAGGAATCGATCAGGATGTCACTCAAGAGGTAGTTTTATTTATTTATTTTTCATGGAAATTTGAGTCAACAACATTATTACCTATTATAAGACATTTCAGAGAAAGAAAAAAAAAAGTGGTCACCAAAGGGCAAAAATGATCCTTTGGCTGGCAGGGCTGGCTCCAGGATTTGGAAGACTAGCCCCCACCAGTAACACAACTTTTTTCTTGGGCGTGGAGCAACCTCTGGCCTAACGCACATCTTCCCCTCGAGCCCGCAACTGACTCCTGAGCAGGCTGTGCTCCATTTAGGGCTGCAGGCCCAGAAGAGGGAGGCCAGACGGGCACTGGAGTGGGCAGAGCGACCAGGCATTTTATGAGCTGGTAGAGGCAGGGCCACTGTGGCTCATGTCGCAGGAGAGCCAGAAGTCTTCAAGTTTCAAGGTAGCCCAAGTCTAGCCAAGAAGGAAGCCCCAGCGTGCTCCTCGACTCGGCATGTTCTCTGGGCTCCTGCCTCTGAACAAACAGTCCAGGTCCAGTTCTCAAGCCCAAAAAAGAAGCTGCTGCTTGTGGCAGCCAAGAGAGGGGTTTCTGGGGACCCTGTAATTAAATACACATCCCTGAGCTGTGGCCCTAGAAACCCTTGCCTCGAGGCTCATCAGTTTCCAGCACCTGGTGGAATGATTGCCGTTTCTCATCCTGAGACACAGATAAAACATCATTTCACAGACACTGGCCATAGATGCTTCAAGCTGAGAAAAAAGGGAGGAATGATCAACTGCAAAGGCAGAGGGGAATATAGGGGATTCTCATGGATTAAACTGGGGAAAGTAAGAGCAGTGGTGTTTTTGTTTAGTTTTTTTTGTTTGTTTAAAAAATCAATAAAGAAAAATTTAAAGTTTAATAAAAGAGCTGAATCTAAAAGACTGGATTTCTGAAAATAATTGCAAAATTTTAAAAAGCAACAAGGAAAAAGACATAGACCAGGGGCCCAGAGCTAAAGACTTGGAATCACTGCTCAACTTCCTGCCCTTGGGAGGCCAGGGTCCCCTTACTTTGGCCAACCTTGGGCATGGCTTAGATGTTGCCCATGCTGGGTTTGTCCATCTGTCTCCATCTGTCCCATTCCCCAGGAAATCAAGAATAAACAAAGGTAGGAAATGGGGAGCAGAGCAAGGCAGCTCAGAGAGCCCACAGTTTTAAGGACCTGGTAACATATTGGCCATGGCAGGTACTCACATTCCCTGAAAAGGGGTGGCTGGGGAGAGGCAGGTCAATGTGGAGCGGGTGACTGTCAGCAACACTGTGGAGACCCTTAGATTCCCTCTATCCATCCTCTGGTTCTGGGGAACAAGACAAGGAGGTTCCTGCATGCTGCCTTCTATCCCTGGAGGTTCTCCCACCTCAATTATGTGTTAAGCATGGGGCTGGGTGTCCTCTGAGCCAGGTGGAGTGCTTTGAGACAGGTTCTGGGGAGTTTCTTCAGACTAAGGGCAAGACCACCGAACCTTGTAAAAGACTCCAAAATTCTACAAAGGAGCCAGAGAGCGTAAGTTGTAGGTGAAGTTCCAAGATTCCAAACTTTTGTCTTGGGTCAAGAAAACATTTAAAGGGAAAGGAAAGGAAAAGCCTGTGTGTTTCAATGCAGTGCAAGGAGGTAGGATTCTCCTTTCCCACACAGCTTTCAGGGTTATATTTTTATGGTGGAAAAACTCTCACTCAAAGTGAGCGCTGTTGGTAGCAGGGGATCAGAGAGAGGACAGAAGAGAGGGGAATTAGAGACAACATGCACAACTTTTTTCTTCTTCCACTAGCAAAAAGGCTACCTGTTAACCAAACATTATGGGAAGAAAGGCAAAAAACAAACACACCAAACCTCCCCCTCCAACCTTTCTCTGTGTCCTTCAAACCAAATTCACAAATACATCTAGTGGCTGACCTAATGTCTCCACACTGCTAGCTACACTCCTACCTTCTCCTCATAATACCTGAGTTTGCAATGCAACACATTCACTTTACCCTGTTTAAAAAAAGCCCACGTCATAAAAGGACTGGGTGCAGAAGACATTAAAGGCTGTCCACAGGTCAGGCTCCGGCTTGGAACACACGGCCACTTGGCTCAGAGATTCTGCAGGGCTCTTGGCAAAGAATGGGCTCTTTGTTCTGTGGAATCTGCTGCAAACATTTGTAAAAATGGATTTGTACAATGGCAACTTGCAGAACCTTTCCCCCACTCCACAAATTAACAACTTGCTCTGTTTAATGCTGCATTATTGGAGAGACATGTTCTTGTCCTGTCAGAGAACAATGTCCTTTGATACCCAACACAACCAGGAAAATGCTTAATTTAAGAGAAAAGCAATTTCAAAAAATAATAATAACCTGACAGATGGAGGTCTAAGCAAAGAAAGATACTGCACACAGGAGCAATCTTGGAGAAGGGGACTCTGATATGTGTCTCCTCCCCTATCTTGAGGAAAGCAGCTCGGAGTCTGACCTGTAGCCAAAGAATGTGATCTGGTTGGTTAAATAAAAAATTCAGGGAAACAAAAATATTGTGAACTTAGAAATAAACAGATACACACACAAAAATCTTCCCATCAACATGTGAAAAACATTCTGGCTGGAGCTTTTCCTGAGGAACATGTCTCTTTTTTCTTTCTCAGAGCAGCTGGGGAAATGGCATTAAGGAGTAATGCTCTGAGTTTTAGACCCATCAAGGGACAAAGTCATCAGTCTGCTGGTACCCGTAACATTTCACTGAAAAGAAAAAATTATAATCCGACACAGACTACCTGGTATGCACACAATGTGGTGGCCCACTAGGTAAATTTGCTAGGCCGGGTTGGAAGAGAGCAAACGGCCTTTGACTAAACAGGCAAAACAAAATGCTGTAGGCCCCTCAAGTCCACCCAGGGAGGCACCCAGCTAAAGTGGTCTATCTGCTGCATTGGCTGTGGGAGGTACCTGGGTATGGGCAAGGACAATTGCTATAGTAAGGCAGAGAAAGGAAAAGCACCTGAAAGAGTTCTAAGATAGACATGGTGTGGCCACCGGCCAAAGCCAAGAGGGTAAGGAATACTTCCCAGAACTACGTAGGGTAGGTAGTGAAAGAATAGGAGGTCCAGGCTGTATCTGCAGAGGGGGGCAGCCAGGCCCTTAGGAACATGAGGTAGTTTCAGGCCCCCCTCCCCTTCCAGGTGCTTTGGACTCCAGCCCTCCAGGCCTTTGTCAGCCAGGCCACTGATAATCTAACGGGCAGGTGGGCCACTCCTCCGGTACTTGGGCCTTCTGTTCTAAGGAAACCTGGTCTCATTGTGGAGAGATTAGGAGAACTTGGGAGGAGAATGAAGGGGCAAAACTTCTGTTCAGCTGATGGGTGAATGGTCTTTCCCACTGTATGAAAGACTGCAGGTTTTGGATTCAGTCCTGAGAATGAGACAGGATGGGGTGAGGGGAGGAACAGGGAAAGGAAGATTGTTTATTCTTTTAGCAGTCTGGCCTTTGTCCCACTAACCTTTGAAAAAAGCAAGGTGAAAGGAGAATAAATCAGTAGTGGGCACCAGGATTCAGAGCATGACATTTTGTTCAGTTGTTTTTTCAAAGGGCCAATAGGAAGTCAAATTTATAGGAGAGAGGCAAGGAGTCTCAGGAAGGTAGACCTTGGTAGATCCAGGTAAAGACACTAGGTAGCTGCAAGCTCCAAGGGAGCTGGTAGACAAGTCCCAAGAATTAACTTACTGCCAGGACCATGTATGGATAAAAAGCTGACAGTGGCAGAAACTAATAGTGGTGGTTTGGACGGTGGGGGTGGGGGGAGCCCACAGCATGGTGTGAGAACAGAAACCCTTCTCCCTGAAGAGTTGTTTGAAGGGAGGACATCTAACATAGATTTGGTCACTGTACCCTACTCCCCCAACTATCATGCTTTCCAAAGAAAAGAGATGGCTAAATCCTCATCTCCTGCCCTGTTTCCAATGTTTCACCCACTTTGCTTAATAAACCTCCCAACACCACTTTGCCCCTTTATGGGTGTGCTCTTTTACTTTTACCTGGCAATTCTGTGGCTAGAAAAAGGCAGTTTGCTCTCTGACAGACTAATGTAGGAGTCTGCTGAGAACACGTGGAAAAAGTAGGGATGGTCACACCCCTCCCTTTCCACTGAGGTAGTCGTCTTTGTCAACATTATGGAAATATTCATCTCAGCCCCATCCCACCCTCTCCCTCAAAATACAAAAGAACTATCTCTAAACAATGACAACACTATAACATTAAACATCTTCACATTCTGTAAACTGCAAGGAAATGCATCGGCTGCATTCACACAAAAGCATGTGCATCATGTTGAAGGCCATACATTCAACTCTGTCGTGAAATAAATATATAGAAAAATGAGGTTAAAAAAACAGACAAACAAACAAAAACTCTTCTTGCTATGGAGGCAACTGGAAACATTGCTCCACAGCCTCCATCTTGGTCTCTCTGGCTCTTTCTTCTGGAGCCTGTCCTGCCCACCCAAGGCGCTGTGGTTGGCCTGAGGAGGGGCGCTGGGAACAGGTCATTCCTTGCCCACACTTGTCTTGCAGGAATGCAGTACCACCTTAAAGAGGAGGGGCAGCTGCTCCAGGGGTACATTCACCATCTTTCCTGGTAACAAGGCAGGAAAAGAAGAGTTAGTAGTGGCTGTACTGGAAGAGCTGTCTGCCTCCTTAGGCTGGAGAAGAGAGAATGTTGCCTTTTTGAGGGACTGGAGCGAGACAGTGCCAGGAGTATCACAAAGACAGGGGTATCAGAGAAACTGTGCTAACATCCTGATACCCAGACCCATTTTGGTACCCGAGAGAGTCCAGCAATGATTCAGGTTATAATCATTGCTATCATCTACTTACTCTGTGCTAAGTGTTTAAATGCATTATCTAATTCTCACAGTATTTCCATGTAATAGATATTACTTGTTATCTCCATTTTATAGATGAGGAAACTTAAACAGAAAGGTATTCCTAGATGTTCTCTTAGAGCTAAAATACCCTGAGAAACATATCTTTTTTTTTTTTTTTTCCTGGTAGATTTTCTAGCATTCTGTTCTTTAGAATAGTATAATGGATTAATAAAAGTACTGGGAAAAAAAGGAGGGGGTGGTCACAGGGGCAAATAAATTTGAGAACTTTGGGGTTAAGAAAAGTATACAGGTTTCTTTATTGGAAGGTTTCTCAGAGCATTCAGTGTGCTAATATACTTTGTAAATATCTGAGGCTGTCGTTCTTCTCCCTGCCAGTACCTTAGAGTCATCTGGGGAGTTTTAAAAAAATACTGATGCCCAGGCCCCACTCCATACCAATTAAATCAGAATCTCTGCAGGTGCAATCCAAGCACAGATATTTTTTAAAAGCTTCCCAGGTGATTCAAAATGTTGCCAGAGTTGAGAATCCAGCTCTGTGGGGGGAGAGTGGGGTATTAACTACTGACTTCCCTTTATTTCAGAGAGCATCTGATTAATATCTTATTCCGTAAAACATAGATTTGGAAATGCTGAGCCATAAACTATCAAAGCACCCCTAAAATTCCAATATTTTAGGTCCAGTTCAGATCAGCAAGACTATCTAGGTCCAAAAAGTAGAAAAAAAAATTCCTTTGTCAGATTGAAAATTTTTTCCTTCAAAATTGGGTGGCTAAATTTGACAGGAACAGTTTTATCTTAGAGGTTACATTTCTGAGTTTTCCCTCAGTATGTGCTGGATTACTATATACAAGAATCTTTACCAGAAGAACTAAAATAACAAGAACAACAAAACCCAGGATTTCATACTGGAACGGACCTATTTAAATGTCAAGAAGCTCAGAAGGGGGTCAAGACTACAAAGCAGTAACAACAAAACTTCCTTTGCAAAGGCAGGATTCTTGAGAATTATTTTAAAGATATTGCTTTAAATGAATGATGTCCAAAAATCTGTAAGAAATTCTATGAAATGAAGTTAATTTTAAAAATTGAGATATAATTAATTCACATAGCATAAAATACACCCTTTTAAGGTATATATTCAGGAAATTAAGTTAATTTAAGAAACTCTGAGCCTGTTTCCCCATCCATAGAAGGACCATAAATATCACCAACAACCAGCCTTGCAGAGTTTGTTCTGAGATTAAACAACATAAAGCCACAAAGCACCTTGCCCATGATAGGCACTCAGGAAATGTTAGACTCTCTTCCCTACAAAGAAAACACAAACTTCTCATTATAATGTAACTTTTCTGAGGGCAATGGTCGTAGTTCTTTTATGCAGTTGGTGATAAGCCTGGAATGAGCATCCTGAAAATACTACTTGTCTCATTTCTTTCACAAGCCAAGAGAAGCAAGGAAGGTTTGGAAGCCCAGCACCAAGAATGTTACCTGCAATATAGCGAATCTCAGGTAAGCACATCATGAGGTCAGGAAAGCGGTTCGGCTGATGTGTATATTTATATTCAGTGAAATCCTGACAAATGTACCAATATCGCTTGTTCAACTGTTCCAGCTGTGAGGCACTGGTCAGACCCCTGATATCTGTGAAAAAAACACACAGGAAAAGGAGGGGCTTTCTACTGTGGAAGAAACACCAGCTCCTTGAATATGTGCATCTTTCGATTAAAAGTTATACAACATTGTCACAACAGGAGATCTTTTCTCTTTCTATCATGGGGGAACAAAACTCTGGATAAGGGAAGAGAAATCAGACAAAGAGGGAAAAAGATTATAAAGGATAGTCACTCAACTGAGACACTTGAGCGTTAGGCTGTATCTTTCTCAACTTCCTACACAGCTCCCAGCACAGGGCTTGACACAAAACAGGCACCAGTTGATGGTGAACAACTGCCTGAGTAACCTACCTTTCACAATGTATCCTTCACAGTATCTTTAAACTGGCCCTTTGCTGGAGCCAATCAGAAAGCTTGCTGATACCTACACACACTCACACATGGTCTCCTATGTGCTTTTGCTCATACTATTCTACCTGGGTTGTCACTCTAGCTTTTTTCTATATAGATTTCTCTCTCTCTCATTTATTTATATATAAATGTATATGTGTATATATATAATGCATATGTGTGTATATATATACATGCACATACCAACTCCTTTTTATACATAGAATATAACTTACCTATATAATTTATATATAAAATAGGATATAAATATTCTCTATATAAATCTTACCCAGCCTTTGAGGCCCAGCTCAGATTTCTCCTCCAAGTAGCTGCTGCTGCTCCCCCCCAATCTGAGGTTCCAGTAATGTGTCAAGTGCCATTAGAGTGTGTACATCTTGAAGCCAGGGACCTGGGATCTATTTTATTTAATGTCTTTAATGTTCAACACAGTGCCTAATCTAGGGGAGGCACATGGAACAGCAGATAAATGAATGAAGATGAATGAATAGTGGAGAAGCAGCAGGAAGAGTAGTCAAAGAGGAGGGGCTCAGAAGTCTCTGAACTAGGAAACTCAATACAGTAACAGAGCAATTTCAATGTCACAGGAAGCAAGACACCCCAGTTCCACTGTGAGAACAGAGCACTCATATGCTACTTTGGAAAAAAGAGAATATAAATTCTCCATACTCCAGTAACTAGCAGCTACCAAGCACCACTTTGCAGGTAATATTCCACATAAACCACATCTAGCACTCTTCTAATTAAAAGCCATGCTCAATACATGTTGTGTGAGGTGTTTTTTTAAAAAATATTTTATTTATTTATTTGACAGAAAGATATAGTGAGAGAGGGAACACAAGCAGGGGGAGTGGGAGAGGGAGAATCAGGCTTCCCGCTGGGCGGGGAGCCCGATGCGGGGCTTGATCCCAGGACCCTGGGATCATGACCTGAGCCGAAGGCAGACACTTAATGACTGAGCCACCCAGGCGCCCCACATTGTGTGAGTTTTTGTATACCCCCCACTCTGCCCTGTAGAGGCCGTCAGAACCACTGCCAGCCTGTCATAGACGTCTTATCTCCAATAGTTTCATCAGTCACCCTGCTCTTCTTCAGCCACTGGTAAACTTGGTACATATTTTAAATGACGCATGTACTGTCCTTGGTGTCTGTGTTTAAATGCATTAAAACTGACTAAACAAAGCGAATCCTCTTCCTTTCTCTATGAGTTATAGAGACTGTGGCATTTAGGTTTGAAGAAAAAAATCCAAAGCATGCCCTGCGCTACAGAGGGGCAGGCTGAGGACAGCATAGGCCTTCTAGGATTGGTACCCACATGGTGTGACAGATTCTGTGCGACAGTCCTGAGGGCAAAGGGGTGGGAGGTGGGGTGTGAAACATGAGGGAAATTGCTCTCCGGCAAAAAAAAAAAAAATCCCCTTTTCTCACCTCCAGCTACTTACCTTGATTTAAGAAGTTAATTGCTTTCATGCAAGCATACTCCTCATTGCTGACCTTTAACTGATGGAACTTGTGATACAGGTAGATGAGCCGCTCGATCACCTCCATCCCTTCATCACTAAATCTGGGGAACAGACAGAGGTGTGAGTGGGCTCTGATACCAGTGGAGGTTAAAGAAGGGAAGAGACAGAGATCTCCTACAGCTCTTTAAGGCATCTAAGATAGAAACGAGCCTGAGCTTGGGGGAAATGGAATCCAGAACCATTATGAAGGACAGGTAGATCCATGGTTTATCTAGAGGCAAGGCAGCTCACACAAGCCGCTTTTTCTAAGGTCAGGTGGGGTCAATAAAATCTAAGTTCAAATCCAGCTCCAACATATGAAAGCTATAAGACCTTGGGAAAATCATTTGACCCCTCTAGCTTTGAGGTGATCTCTTTTGTAAAATAATAATGCTTGCCTGCTTGGGGTAACAAGGGCCAAAGGCGGTCTGAAATGTAAATGTGGAAAAATATGACATTATTAAGATACTGCTATTGTTGAGATGCAGTCTCCAGTATCAATGTCAGCTGCCATGGTGACTCTGAGCCTCTGCCATGGTGAAGAAAAAGCTGATGATTATATTTAGGTTTACTGTTTCCAGCGGGGCTGAGGTTATGCACAATGAGAAATTTTACTGGCATCCCTGACTTTAGCTAGGGAGGAAGGGAAACATTAACTGAACCTCCATGCCATGCCAGTCTCCGTGCTGGGCACTTTATGTGCATTTTCTCATTTAATTTTCTCAGCTCTATGGGCTATGTGAGATTATCATTACCACTGTATAGATGAGAAACTGAAGTTTAAAGAGCAGAGGGGACTGGTCCACAAGCACACAGCTAGTTGGTGGCAGAGCTAGAACTTGGAACCTAGGCTAACTTCCCAAGCCCTTGGTTTTCCCGATATCTAAGGGCATTATTATACTGTAGCAGATAAGACTCAATGAGGACCATGCTTCTTTCTTTGGATTAGATAGAAGTAAGCTCCTTGGGGAAAGACCAAGTTTCAGAAAAAGGAGCCCCAGGTTAGGGGACTAATACTCTGGGTCACAGTGGGGAATACCTCCATACCAGAGGTGGAGATATCACCAAACCAAGAAGGCTTTAAAAAGCTCAATGGGGAGGGGCGCCTGGGTGGTTCAGTTGGTTAAGCGACTGCCTTCGGCTCAGGTCATGATCCCGGAGTCCCGGGATCGAGTCCCGCATCGGGCTCCCTGCTCGGCGGGGAGCCTGCTTCTCCCTCTGACCCTCCCCCTTCTCATGCTCTATCTCATTCTCTCTCTCAAATAAATAAATAAAATCTTTAAAAAAAAAAAAAAAGCTCAATGGGGAAGCAAGCGTTTATAATAGCTGGGGTCAGGCTCAGTCCCCTTCTAGGAGTGGGCTAAGGAGAGTTCCAGGTAGGCCTTAGATACAGCTCAGTCAAGGAGAGAAGATGCTCAGCTCTGGGACTACTTCCCGGTGACATGTTCAGATCTGAGTACTGCAGCCCTATGCCAGGCAAGAAGTCCCTATCTGGGTAGGATCCTGAACACCTAGGGACGGACTACTGCTGTCTGGGCTCTACTGCCTTCTGCGTTGACTCTAAAGGCTTTGCAAAGGCTTGGCCTCTGGGCAAGCAGCACATTTTCTCTTCCTGGGGGGAAAGCCTCGCTCTGATTGGGGCCAGAGGCATCTGTGGCATCTGCACTTCTCAAGCACCAGGGGGAGCTACAGGAGCAGCTACCCATCGCTAGAGCCTGACCCCTTTGCCTCAAAGCCCCATCATGGCCTGGGGCTTCTTTCCTCCATTCGCTGATGTGAACAATGAGGGCTGACTCGATTTCTCTCTGTACCTGGCTCAATGGCTTTTACAACTTTATTAATACTTCCCCAAACTGGCTGATAGACAAATTTATACTGAATAACTACTATACTAACCTTATCTACCATTCTATCCTTTGTTGAGTGTTTGCTACTTGCCAGTTACTTTGTTAAATATTCAACACGTATTATTTCACAGGATACTCCCAATAAATCTACAAAATTGGTATTAGAGCCCTCTTCGTTCACATGTGGAAACAAAGCTCAGGGAGGTTATTTACTGTGCCCCTACTGCATTCTTACATTTTACCTTCCTGGCAACCTGTGAGATAAGTAAGATCACTGCACATTAGGGATGAGGAAGCAAAAGAAGAGCATCTTGCCTACCCCAAAGTTGCATAGCAAATAAGTGGCGGTGGGGTGGGGCCAAAGTTTAAACCCAGGTTTTCTAATTCCAAGCCTCTCGCTTTCTCAGCACTACAGTGTCTACTCCCTATCTTGTTCTTAACTGGTAACTGGGAAAGGCTACCTCATGCCACCACAGGGGACCTCAGGAGCTCTGTGTTCCCACAGCAACTCAGCCCAGGGCCCAACTCAGTCGGGTGTAGGGTTTGCTACAGTGCCTCCACAATGCTGAGACATGCGGGAGGCAGTGGGCCTGGGAGTGAAGAGCACTCATCACAGGACTCTGATGGCTACTTCTGTTCTTGAGAGGAAAAAGGTCTTGACTGAGAATTCCCTCTAGTATCTGCCTGGAGGGGTGGTGTGGGGAGGAAATGGGGTACAGCATCAAAAAGGAGGACGCAGGCAGAGCAGCAATGCCAGCATCTGTCTGTGGCCGAGCAGTGTAGCAAACAAAGATAACGTTCTCTCCCTTAATCAGCAACCGCTTGCCCCAAGTGCTCCCTCTGGCACTGCAGAACCTGCAGGTGTGTGGTTATCAGCCAGACCCCCAGCCAGCAGTGGTGAACTTACTGCTGGCTGAGTCTTGATGTGAGGGACACAAAGGAGCTCCCAAGTGCCTGGCGTGAGCATATGTCCCAAATCTGCCCTTTCTCTTAGGGACAGCACGTACCTTCTTTCCCACATTTCCTAGGACGGGCAACCATCATGGATCCCTGGCAGTGGTGGTGGGGGGGGGGGGCTGGCAGCCAGCCCAGTGCCCCCACTCAGTCTCCACAGCCCGACTGCAAAGCTTTCCTCCACACCCCGCATCCCACCCCTTGATAAACAAATTGTTCTCTGTTCCATGGGCCTGCTTTCTCCTGCAGCCGTGCCTCCTCCACATCTGCCCACTCCACAGTTCTAACGCCCCTGTATTCCCTGTCTGCAAATTATCAGCATTTAAAACCAGAGAGTTGGACAAACACACCCATTCTTCTTCGAGGTTCCCATTACACAAGCATGCTGGGACAAAGAAAACATTCCTGCCAGGATCCCCCAAACCACTGGACCATTCAGTCAGCAATTGAAGCTGACACTATGTAAGTTATGTCCTATTAAGGGGGCTGAGAGGCCTAGTCGTCTCTTTTTCATTCAGCTAAGTGCACCTACCCCCAGGAGCAGTCATCAGCTTTAAAGGAATTATCATCTCAGCACCCATGTAAACACTCCAAGATTGAAAGTAAGACTGCAACTCGAGGACACATTCCAGAAAAGCTGAACTTTTTGGAAGGCTAAGTAATTCAGCAGAGGGTAATAGTAAGGATTCTGGGCTTTAGAGCACAACAGATCTAGGTGAGGATCTCAACCTCATCTTTCTAGGTTTGTAGCCTTGAGTTTTTTCACCTCTCTGAACCTCATGCTCCTCATCTGTGGAACAAGGATAACAGTGCAGTTGCTTGGGGTGGTGGTGAGGACTAACCAAATGTCTGTAAAGCACTTGAGATGGAAGTTGGCACAATAAACAGTCCGTAATTGTTAGCTATTATCATTATTAATGGCATCATCATCATTGCTCCTGTTATCACAACAAAAAGAAAAGATTGTTTCTTGAACCTTACAGCTAGGGTGTGAGCAGAGAAGCTGGGAGGCAACCTTCCAGAGATCTGGCAGAAATGGAGCTAGTGTTCATGAGATAGAAGTGCCCATTAAAACCGATCTAGTGCAAGGCATCTTCTCTTGAGAGTGAAGGAGTCTTGATTAGGGCCAGGAGCAGTCACTGGCTGGTGCTACAATCTGCTTTAAATCAAATTCGCCCAGCTCACTGTCTGATAACAGCCTGATTAAGGAAAATGGGTACCATAAATTTGATTCAATATTTGAGAAAAGGAGGTGGTCATGTATCATCAGGGAAAAGCCTTTTCATGACAGCAGGAACTCACTTGCACTCAAGAGTCGTGAAATAGTAAAGGCATTTTGGGGGAGTAGGAGTAATGCAGGAGCAGGCAAGGTAGAAAAGAGCTATGGCCAATTACGGACTCCACACCCCAGTTTTTAGCAGGGTAAGGAATGCTTTACTCTGATGTACCTGATTCCAGAGGTCCTCATACTTCCTTTTCCTCTGACCTCTTGAGCTCTCAGGCTCATGCCTGATCAGGCTCAACAGACTCCAAACCAAACTCAGAGTGGCTCATCGCTTAGCCTGTTCTTCTCAGGCTCCATTATCTTGGCTAAGAGAATTGGCACTCACCTGCCTGGCAGCATCCCCAACTTCTGCCTCACTGAAGTCCCACTGACTATACCTCCTTGTTATCTCGTAACTCTGTGCAGCCCTCTCTATTCCCAGAGACACTGCTCTCTTATCCAGGCCTTGTTTTCTTTTACCTGGGTTATGGAAAAACCTCCTACCCAGCCACCATCCTCTAGTGTCGTCCATGCCAATCCATCTTGAGCTTTACAGCCACAGGGATCTTTCTAAAATGACACCCGACCATGTAATTGCTCCACATAAAAACATCTCATGATTTAATAGTATTTACATAATATAACCCAAATTCTTTTGATAGGCATTTAATGAATCTTTTTTTTTAAGATTTATTTATTTCCTTTAGAGAGAGAGAGTGCGCGTGTGTGTGCGAGCAGGGGGAGAGGGAGACAAGCAGATTCCCTGCTGAGTGGGGAGCCCAATGTGGGGCTCAATCCCAGGACCCTGAGACCATGACCAGAGCTGAAATCAAGAGTCGGGCGCTTAACCAACTGAGCCACCCAGGTGCCCCTAGACTGGCATTTGAACACCTTATGATCTGCCTTTTTTTTAATCTTTTTCTCCAGTCATTTCTCCCCTCATTTCTGTCTCTCAGATAAATTCTCTCTATACCCTAATCCATGGGATTGCTTTTGGTTCCCTGCACAAACCAACCACCCAGGATCTCTAACTTCTAGGACTTTATCTCCTGCCTTCCTATTCTCTATAATCTACCTAGAAAAACCCACTTCAAGATGCAGCTCAAATGTCTTTTTAAAAATTTTTTATTGTTATGTTAATCACCATACATTACATCATTAGTTTTTGATGTAGTGTTCCGTGATTCATTGTTGCAGCTCAAATGTCTTATCCTCTGGCAAGCATTACTTGATTATGCAAGTAGAGGTACTTACTCCCTTGGCTGTGCTTACACAGTCCCTCATATACCCCTCGATCTCCATCAGTATCCACCTGATTTATAGATTGTTATCTGTTTCTATTTGTCTCCCAATCCCCTAAGCCAAGAATAGGGGCTCTCACCTCAGAGTCAGAAACCATGTCTGCACCATCTCAATCCCAACTCCCCTCCCTCTGACACACACAACAGGGTCCTAGGTACATGGGCATGGAATCAGAACTAACGTGTTGAAGTTTAACTCGTTTTTCCCATGGAAGGATTCCATATGCTTCTTGCATGGAGCAGTAAGTCCTGACAATACATCTATTTCTTATCCTCAGAACTAATACATGTTCTAGAATCAGCATTGTTCAACAGAACTTTCTGAGATGATGGAGATGTCCTATATCTGCACTGTCCAATACAGTACCCACTAAGCACATGTGGCTAGTGAGCATGTGGAATGTGGCTAGTGCAAATGAGGACTGAATTTTTAATTTTATTTAATTTTAATTAACTTAAATTTAAAAAGTCACCTGAGGCTAGCAGTTAGTATATTGGACAGTGCAGCTCTACATTCTCCTAGGTAAGGAGACTTCCTAGAAATAAACATTCCCTCACTAATTTACTAGCCTCTGCCTTGCTCTTGGGGCTCAAGGGACTGGATACAGTGGGATGGGGTGCTTTATGAAGCTCAAAGCCACAAAGAACCCTGCATGGCCAATGATCCCTGCCTACCTGCAGAGGGCCTGGGAAAAGCCATCATTCTATAGGGATGAGCCCTATAGAATGAGACAGTAATATAAAATACCAAGCCCATAGGCCGACTTTGTAGACAGCCCCAGGCTGCATTGGTGGATTCCAGGCGAATAAAGAAGCCAGACTCATTGGGCCAGCTCTGCAAACCCTGACAATATTAAAACCTGCAGACTGCAATTCAAACACGCAGTTGGCCCAGAATGAAGGAGCTGGAGATAGGAATTTGATGGAAACAATGAATTAGAGGCTCAAACAGGGGGTTCGGTCATCTGCAAAATCAGATAGCTCTGTTTACAGGACAAAGTGTCAGCTGGGTTCAAAACTCTGAAGCCAGTAAGCATCACTGAAAAGGAAATATTAGAAAACCAGGGGAGAGTGTCAACATCCAGACTCCTCCCTCTGTCACCTGTGCAAAGGGCCCCTGAGGGTCTTGGAGCTTTACTTTCAGCCTCAGCCTAACACTTAGCCTGTCTTTATTCCATGGCAATTGGGTGACAGAGGAGAGGCACTTTGGTCCTGTGTAGAGAATTGTGGGGGCTAATACCCCATCTCCTCCAGTTTTCATTGATGGGGTACCTCTTCTCCCCTCTTTCTTGGTGTTCTGGAATCCCAGGACTTCCATTTTTAAAAACTGTTCAATAAAGGTGAATTACTGAAATTATTTAATGAAATTATTTAAATGTGATTTAAGCTTTATTTTTCACATGATAAATTAATAAGCCAGGAAAGTTGTATCAACAGATCACTTGTCCTGATTTTGGGGTTGTCACCATGTGCTCTAGGTCTTCAAAGTGAGTGAGGGGCGCCTGGGTGGCTCAGTCAGTTAAGCGTCTGCCTTCGGCTCAGGTCATGATCCCTGGGTCCTGGGATCGAGCCCTTCATCGGGCTCCCTGCTCAGCAGGAAGCCTGCTTCTCCCTCTTCCACTCCCCCTGCTTGTGTTCCCTCTCTCACTGTATCTCTCTCTGTCAAATAAATAAATAAAATCTTAACAAAAAAACACAAAGTGAGTGAGAGAAAGATCTGTGCTAGACAGGGAGATTAGGATCCTGGCCAAGTAGGATGAGAAGTTACACCAGAAAACACTGAAGAGAGCGGCTCGGTCTCTTAGCCCCATGCTCTTACCACCTCAGTGCATCTCAGATGCAGTCAAAGAGCCTAAGCTTTGACATTGGGCAGCCATAGGTTCAAATCGAGGCTCTGTGTTCAAACCCAAAACATTAAAGGGCAGATCTCTTTGAACTTCAGTTTTCTTATCCATAAAATAGGCGTAACAACATCTATAATGCTAGAGGCTATGAGAAAAGAATAAGACAGTAATATAAAATACCAAGCCCAGTGCCTGGCATATAGTAGGTACCACAGTGACTTCTAGATCTTGTTCTTGAATTGTAAACTGTAACTCAGAGCCTCTCACTTTATAGATGAAGTTTAGAGTTTAGGTTTTTGTTTTGCCCAGATACATTCTCTTATCTCAGTAATCCAGATGTGATAAAAAAAAAAATAATAGTGTAGCACTCCGCTAAGGCTCGCTGCACAGTATCATTTATTTTTCACAACTACCTTGTTGGGGAGGTACAGGTATTATCTATCCCATTTTATAAATTCAGAACGTAGGAATCAGAGACTTAACTATGGTTACAAAGCTAGTCAGTGGCAGAGTTACGGATTCAAAACCAGCCCTGTGTGTGGCTTTAATTCCTATCCTCTAAAGGGTCAGTGGGGGCACTCCATCCCCACTTTGCAGGGATGACGATGATTTGGTTGCTTGGGACTTCCTCCCCAGCCAACAACCCTTACCTGTGTAGTTCTTCATCAGAGGGTGAGTACTTGGCAGTGACATCAGCCAGCTCCCCAAAGATCTGTTTGCTATAAACGGTGAGGGAGGACAGCAGGATTAATTCCTGCCAGGTAGAGCTCAGGAGGCACGTGTAATCCTTGATTGAGAGCTCGCAGAAGAAAGGCAGTTTCTTGATCCAGGCAATCTGCCTAAAGAGCAGCTCATCAGCCAGGCGGCAAAGCAGGGCAAACAGCTCTGCCTGAGTCACAGCATACCTGTGGGTAGGGACAGTGAAAAATCACTTCCAGTGGCCAGAGGGGGAGGATGGGGGGGGGGGGGCAGAGGGAAAGGGTACTCCTAAGAGTAAAAAGGGTCTCTAGCAGTGGGCTCCTTGTCCTTGATCATGGGTCTCCAGCTCCATTCAATTGAGTCTAATGATAAAGGGGCAGGACTGGGGCCAGCAGCAAGCTCAGGGCTGGAGAGGTGGGTTTGGTGAGAAAAGGTTGTAGAAAGGAAAGGAGGCTTGGAAATTTGTGCAATTTATTAGGGAATATGACTTTTAATGTTGGTGTCCACTAGTGTTCCATGTGTTAGAGAAAATTCCATCACTCCTGCACTAGTTTTGGCAACGAGAGCTCCTGTAGGGCGGATCTGGTGCCCACCCAATACAGGGACTGGCACAGAAATGAGCCAGAGGCCATATGACTGAAAGAGAAGAGAACATGTTCAGAAGATTTTCCTGCTCTCATTGCACCCCCTGGTGGTGAGACTTCAGAAACTAAAGTTGCTCAGCCCCTGTAAGCTACTGCTGAATGGAAGGAACAGGGCATTTCTCATCTCTGGGCTGGATGAGACAGGGTCCCAGTTTTCTTTCTTTCAAGGCCCCTTGGCATGACTCATCTCCACACCCCCACACCCAGGTTTATAAAGATTTTGTGTGGCCTTCTTATAAGCAGATCTTTGAATTTCCTCTTCTAATATTGGAGACTAGCTTAAGAAATCTCAGGATATATCCTAGGGGGTCTAAGCTTGATAACAAACAGCCTATGCCTCAGGCCAAAGGAGTAATGGGTGCAGCAACTGGTGGGCCTAAAGGCTGAACTAGTATCTACTTAGTAGAGCTGACAGAGGATTGACAAGAGTATTCCTTCCACCTACTCAGGTCTGCACACAGCGCACATGGCACCAGGCTACCAATGGGACACACTGGCTAGGGATGCAGACAGTCCACAACCAGTTAGTGCCTTGAATGCCTTGTTAATGAGCCTGGACTTGATGTATAATTATTCCCAGAATTACAGCTCATCTCTGGCTCAGAGCCAGAGAAGCACTCAGACCACCTCAGGGCCTGGCTTACCTAGGCCCAAGCAGAAACAAAAGTCCTTTAATCCCAATTCCATAAGGATTGATAAACAGCCCCAACTCGGAAAAAAGATGCTCAAGAGAAAAACAAGGGACTGCTGACTTCAAAGATAAATACAGATTTTGTCCTCTGATGCTTGAGCCATTACTCAATATCCCCCCTTGACTCATTCCAAAGCCTAGGGTATTAGTAGCCAGGGATGAAGGTGGGTGTCGGGCAGGGATCATTTTGAAGTTGCAAGGGCTAAATGGGGTACTCACCCATCTTCAATCAACATGGGTGTGCCCAGTGGCTCCAGGTCCTCGGCTGACACCAGCTGGTGAATCAGACTGTATGACTGGGGATCCAGGCTGCGAGCTTGTGGGGGCAGGAGTGGCGAGTGGGCGGAATAGCTAAAAAGGTGCGGTATGTATTGATAGTGTGGAGGCACAGACATCCCCATGTACTGCTCCCTGAATGCCACGAATCCATTTAGTTCCACAGACCTACTGAAGAGAAAAGTCTCATGTCAAGCAGAACCATGGCAGGTCTACTGCCTGCTCAAGATGACTAAGGTGTTTTTTGGCCATGCAGTCTGTCCTCATCAGGGACATAATTAATGGTTACATGCATGTCTCCCCCACTAGACAGGGACTCTCTGCAGGTGTCTGTATGTGTGATTTATCATTGGACACCCAGGACCTGGCAAAATCGGTACTAAATAAAGAGTGGTTTAATAAATTCTTTGTATAGGTGTCACATTTGAAGAGATTTTAATGGATACTCACAGACTATGATCCACAAAGGTGGGGGTATATATTTTTTTACTGCTAGGAAAACTAAGGCATAGACAGGCTAAGGGCCTTGCCAGGCCATAAAACAAATCCAGCACCTAGCAAGGAATCTGACATGGAATCTGGCAAGGAATCTGGCAAGAACTCCCTAAACATTTAAAGGAAGGAACAAAAAAGGAACAATCAAACAAATAAAAGGTATAATAAAATACCAAGAGAAAGGCAGATTCTTATCTTCTTCCCTTTCCTGGAGAAATCTAACCATTCTGTCACCTAAAACAAAAATCCTCTGGCTTTACCTAGATGCGTTTCCTGTAACAGGAACTGACAAACTATAGCCTATGGCCCATTTGGTAAATGAAATTTTAATGGAACACAGCCACATTCATTCATTTACATAGTCTCTGGCTGCTTTTGCACTATGATGGTAGGGTTGAGTATTTGAGACCCAGACTGTGTGGCCTGCAAAGCCTAAAATATTTATTATCTGGCTTTTATAGAAAAAGTTCATCAATCCCTTTCCTATAAGAAAGATTTCTGCAAAAAGGAAATCTACCCTGGTAGCTGATGGCTACATTTTACACCTAATGACTAACTTAAGGTAACATTCTTGAACCAAGAGTCTCCAAGTTGGTATTCCATGATAGCAGCAAATTTAATTAGCTTAAAATTTTTCAGTTTCTTAAAATTTATAAAGTGAAAATCTTCACTCTTGCTGAGACAGAGAAATGAGAACTTCAATATAGTCAATGTGGTTTGTTTTATTTCCATGATAAATATGAGAAAAGAGCTACATTTAAAAATGGTATTCTGGGGGGCGCGTGGGTGGCTCAGATGGTTAAGCGTCTGCCTTCGGCTCAGGTCATGATCTCAGGGTCCTGGGATCAAGTCCCGCATTGGGCTCCCTGCTCGTTGGGAGCCTGCTCCTCCCTCTGCCTCTCTCTCTCTCTCATGAATAAATAAATAAAATCTTTAAAAAAAAAAAAAAAAAAAAAAGGTATTCTGGGGCGCCTGGGTGGCTCAGTTGGTTGGGCGACTGCCTTCGGCTCGGGTCATGGTCCTGGAGTCCCGGGATCGAGTCCCGCATCGGGCTCCCTGCTCGGCGGGGGGTCTGCTTCTCCCTCTGACCCTCCCCCCTCTCATGCTCTCTCTCTCTATCTCATTCTCTCTCAAATAAATAAATAAAATCTTTAAAAAATAAAAAAAAAATAAAAAATAAAAAATAAAAATGGTATTCTGTTAGGTAAAGAACGTATGGGCACAGACAGCAGCTGTATCACTTTATTAGCCTGCAGAAGAGACTGCTGACATTTTCAAGGTCTTTAGCAAAAAGTAGGCTGTGAAATGCTGCTTTGTGTCCTCCTGGCCCCTACCCCAAAGACTGAGGGAACAAGAGTACAATGGCTGAGACAGACTGGCCAGGAATACCCAGCCCAGACGGTCCTTGTGGGTCTACTCTTTGGGTGGTCCCTAGACGATGCTGGGTTTGCCTTGAAGCTCACCTGGAGGACAGTGTGGAGCCTGGTGAGGGCTGGTTGCTCTCTGAAGCCCTGTTCCCAGGGGAACTGTGGTCGCTGTCACCATGGTTGCTCCAGTGATTGGCCTCTTCCTCAAATTCCTGCCCAGACATGATCCTTTCGATCTCTTCCTCTGATATCTTTGACAAGGAATTGACACATGTTAGACTGGGTGCTTAGGATATCCTCTGTTCCTTCTTTAGGACCAAGAATTTATTTAAACCTCACAAAGATCCCCAGAACTCTCTAGAGAGACATCTAGATTCCCTCTCCTTCACCTCCATACTCCAGGGTCTCTCACTAACCTTAGGACAGCTCAGTTGCTTGTTTCCCAGCACCATAGCTCACTATGGCCTTCCTCTTGTCCGTTTACCCTCCTCTCAAGCCACAAAGCCTTCACGTTCTTCACGTTCTTCAACACTCTTTCTCTTTGAGTCTATTCTTCCCTACCCCTGAAACACCACTCTTCAAGAACAAACTCCTACTTGCCTTCTAAGACCCAATTCAAATGTCACCTTCTTTGTGAATCCTTCTATCACTACCTAGACAAAATTTTAGGTCCTTCTTCTATCCACTTCTAATTCTGTGTATTCTGAGATAGGCAGAATAGCACAGTGATTAAAAGGATGAATTCTAGAGTCAGACCACCTTTGTTCCAATACAGGCTCTGCTACTTTCTAGTTGTACAATCTTAGGCAAGTCATTTAAGTATTTGAACTTAAATTCAAAATCTGAACAAAAATTATTTGTGTGGTAGGGAAAATAATAGTATCCATCTCATGGGATTGTTGTGAGGATTAAATTAGTTAATACATTATCACATGGTTAGAAAAGGCCTTAACACATAGCAACAATTATGGAAAGTTGACAATATCTTCACCATCATTATTGTTATTTTTATAGCACTTATGGTAATGTATCATAAAAATACCCTCTATCAGACCTAAGGCTATGATAGAATCCAGAAAAAAGTACTCAAAGAATGCATGTTGGATAAATAAACAAATGTTCACTTATTAAGTACTGTCCATGAAACTTCACATGGATTTTCTTAGTAAGAAAGATATTCCCAAGCCTACAGAAGAAATAAGAAGAAATTTTAGCTCAGACAAGTGAACTGACTTGCCCAAGATCACACTGTATGCCCATGGGTCAGGAGGAGTTTGAGGAAGAGGCCAAAGTACCCAAGTATTCAGTCCATGGCTCTAGCTACCATCCCATAAAGGGAGTGAATAAATACATCTTCTATAAAGTGTTTAACCCAGAGTTGAAGCCTAACTGGCTAAACTCAGCAAAGAATGAGAGTGAATAGGAAGGAGTAAGGGCCAGATAAATTTTTATTTCTTGTTCCTATAGAAAGCCTGGGAGGACATTTTCTCTCAAGTCTGTCTGACTCAAACCTGCATGACTCTTTGTTCCAGCAGCCTGTGAAGAAACCTTGAGCTGCTCTGATCATAAATACAGGAGGCATTTAGAATTGGAAGCCAGCCAGCACATAGGACTTGGAGGGAACACAAGAAACATTTAACTGGTACAGAAGTTGAGTGATTGGTCTTAACAAACTTCTATTTGTATACTTAGAGGGGCAGTCTTTCTTTATTCAGTAACATGTAACAAAACAAACCTTTTCTCTTAGGGATCTTTAGAACACTGAAATCTCAGATTTAATAAGACATGTAAAGACAAAAGACGCCATCAAACTACAAGACATCTACTGAGACCCTGAGAAGCAGCCTCAGTGATGGTAGTGAGAGCAATACCAGAGCTTGGAGGGCATGAAAGTACTTGAGCTAGGTGAAAAGAACCAGTCCTGATAAGCCAGATTATTCCAGCTGGGAGCCAAAGTTGGACTGCATCTGTCTCTCCATATGGGTCCCAGAGGACACTGGGCAGTCACTGATGCATTAAGGGGATGGAACATATTAGGAGGGCTTGTATCTAGGTTCAGATCTCATCTGTCATTTCCTAACTGGGTGCTTACTGTTGGGCAAGTCACTCAAGTTCTCTGAACCTTAGTTCCCTCACACAGAAAATGAAGATAATACCACCCACTTAGTAGTTTGGGCTCCCTCTTAGGGTACAGAACTGAATCAGACAGACTTGAGGTTAATCTAAGATAAAGTGATGAAGTGCACAACAGGTACTCAATAAATCATAATTCTATCCCTAATTTTTAATTATAATTAAACATAGTTAAGAACTTGGGAGATCACAGCTCTCTCTTCTTAACACTACCTAAAAAAGTAAGAGACAAAAGGAAAATTATATGCTCAGTATCAAAAAGTCAAATACAATGACAGATGAAATAGGTTTCTCTGAGCATCAGCTCCCTCCACTCTAGAGAGAACATAAAGTCTAGAGACGTAAGCGACTGAAGATCCCTGCCATGGTGGGAGAAGGGTACTCAAAAGACACTGAGTAATGCTGAAGAAGGTTTTTCATTCAGGAAATGCTTAAGAATTCTTTCCAACAGATAAACTTTCTACTGCATCTAAATATAAAAAGAATGACTACAAATAAAGGCCATACATGAAAAGCCTACAGCTAACATTATACTCGATGAAAAACTAAAAGCTTTTTCTCTAAGATCAGGATCAAGGCAAAAATGTCCACTCTCACTATTTCTATTTAACACAGTAGGAAGTCCTAGCCATTGCAATTAGACATGTAAAAGAAATAAAAAGCATCTAAATCAGAAAGAAGTAAAATTATTTCAGTTCACAGATGACACGATCTTATGAATAGAAAACCAAAAAACTATTAGAACTAACAAAAGAATTCAGCAAAGTTTCAGGATACAAAAGCAACACAAAATCAGTTGCATTTTTATATACTAACAATGAATCTGGAAAAGAAATTAAGGAAACAATCTCAGTTACAACAGTATCAAAAAGAATAAGATACTTAGGAATAAACATAACTAAAAGGATGAAAGACTTGTACACTGCTGAAAGAAATTAAAGATATAAATAAATGGAAAGACATCCTCTGTTCACAGATTAAAAGACAATTACTGTTAAAATGTCCATACTATCCAAGTTGATCTACAGATTCAATGCAATCCTTATCAACATTCCAATGGCATTTTTTGCAGAAACAGAAAAAAACAATCACAAAACTCATATGGAAACCCAAAGAACCCCAAATCGCCAAAACAATCCTGACAAAGAACAACAAAGCTAGAGGCCTTACACTTCCTGGTTTCAAAACATATTAAAAGTTACAGTAATCAAAGCAGTATGGTACTGGCATAAGGACAGGCCTATAGACCAATGGAACAGAATAGAGAGCTCCAAAATAAACCCACACATATGTAGTCAACAGATCTTGACAAATCTGCCAAGACAACATAAGAATAGTCTCTTCAGGCGCCTGGGTGGCTCAGTTGTTGAGCATCTGCCTTCGGCTCAGGTCATGATCCCGGGGTCCTGGGATCGAGTCCCACATCGGGCTCCCTGCTCAGTGGGGAGCCTGCTTCTCCCTCTCCTTCTGTTGCTGCCCTTGCTTGTGCTCTCTCACCCTCTCTGTCAAATAAATAAGTAAAATCTTTAAAAAAAAAAAAAATAATAGTCTCTTCAACAAGTGTACTGGGAAAGCTAGATATTCATATGCACAAGAATAAAATTAGATTCTGTTCTTATACTTCATACAAAAATCAACTCAAAATGGATTAAAGACTTAAATGTAAGACCTGAAACTATAAAAGTCCTAAACGAAAACACAGAGAAAAAGCTTCTTGACATTGGCCTTGGCAATGATTTCTTGAGTATGATATCCAAAGTACAGGCAATAAAAGCAAAAACAGACAAATGGAATTACATCAAACTAAAAAGCTTCTGCAATGGGGCGCCTGGGTGGCTCAGTTGTTGAGCATCTGCCTTCGGCTCAGGTCATGATCCCGGGGTCCTGGGATCGAGCCCCGCATCGGGTTCCCTGCTCCACGGGAAGCCTGCTTCTCCCTCTCTCACTTCCCCTGCTTGTGTTCCCTCTCTCGCTGTGTCTCTCTCTGTCAAGTAGATGGATAAAATCTTTAAAAAAATAAAAAATAAAAAAAATAAAAAGCTTCTGCAAAGTAAACAATCAACAAAGTCAACAAGATCCTAGAGAATGAAAGAAAATATTTGCAAACCATTTATCTGATAAAGGTTAATACCCAAGAGATATAGGAAATTCCTACAACTCAACTGCAAAAACCCCAAATAACCTGATTTAAAAATGGGATGCCTGGGTGGCTCAGTAGGTTAAACGTTTGTCTTTAGCTCTCAGGTCATGATCCCAGGGTGATTGAGTCCCGCATTAGGCTCCTTGCTCAGAGGGGAGCCTGCTTCTCCCTCTGCCTGCCGTTCCCCCTGCTTGTGCTCTCTCTCTCTCAACCCTCTCTCTCTCTGACAAATAAAAAAATCTTAAAAAAAAATAAATAAAAGTGGGCAAAAGATTTGAAGAGACATACCAAAAAAAAACTTCTCCAAAGACATGTAAACAGCACAGCCAACATGTATATGAAAAGATGCTCAACATCACTAATCATCAGAAAAACACAAATCAAAACTATAATGAGGTATCACCTCACAACTATCCAGAATGCCATTATCAGAAAAAACAGAAAATAAGAAGTACCACAGAAGATGCAGAAAATTGGAACCCTTATGCAATGCTGGGTGGGGATGTAAAGTGGTGTGGCCACTATGGAAAACAGTATGGAGGTTTCTCAAAAAATTAAAAATAAAACTACCAAATGACCCAGTAATCCCACTTCTGAGTATTTATCCAAAAGAATTGAAACCAGGATCTCAAAGTGATATCTGCCCTCCTACATTCACTGCAGCATTATTCACAATGGCTAAGAGATGGAAACAACTTAAATATCCATTGATGGGTGAATGGATAAACAAAATATGGTATATACATACAATAGAATATTATTCAGCCTTAGAAATCCTGGCATATGCTACAATGTGGATGAGCCTTGAGGATATTACGCTAAGTCAAATAAGGAAGTCACAGAAGAACAAATACTGCATGATTCCACTTAAATGAGGTATCAAAAGTAGTCAAACTCTTAGAAAGGGAAAGTAGAATGGTGGTTGCCAGGGACTGGGAGAAGGGGAAATAAGGAGTTGTTGCTCAATGGGTATACAGTTTCAGTCATAAGATGAAAAGATTGTAGAGATCTGTACAAAAATGTACATATAGTAAATAATACTGTACCATATACTTAATTTGTTAAGGAGATAAATTTCATGTTACATGTTTTTTACTGTACACACACATAAGAACACATATGGGTATAGACCAAAATAAATTAATTTTTATTATAACATGAATAAAAATGTTTGATTTTTAAAAAAGAAATGAACACAGCACATACCCACAGCCTGAGTGAGTGCATATATGTGCTAGGAAATTCCCCATATTTCATCAGCATATGTCTCAAAACAACTATGAATTTCTGTCTTTCTCTCATTCCCTCACATTCAACTGGATAAATCCTATCAATTTTACCTATTAAATCTCTCTTGAACCTAATTCTCTCCCCTTCAAATTGTACTATCATTGTCCTACTTAAAACCACTATCTATATCTATCTATATCTCTATCTCTTGGCTGGACTTCTGTAAAACCCTTTAAACTGCTTTTTCTTTGCTCCCAGTTTCACGGACACCTACCCAGCTCTTCACAAACCATTTCTATTGCTAGAATGATCTTTCTTTTTTATTTTTATTTATTTGACAGAGAGAGAGAGAGAAAGAAAGCAGAAGCAGGGGGAGCGGCAGAGGGAAAAGGAGAAGCAGCTCCCCACTGAGCAGGGAGCCTGATGCAGGGCTCAATCCCAGAACCCTGGGATCATGACCTGAGCAAAAGGCAGACCGCTTAACCTACTGAGCCACCCAGGCACCCCTCTCTCTTTTTTTTAATTGTAATTTTATAATTTCTTTTTAAAAAGATTTATTTATTTATTTTAGAGAAAGAAAGAGAGCACATGGCGGGAGGCGGCGGGGAGAGGGAGAGAGAAAATCTCCAATAGACTCCCTGTTGAGTAAGGAGCCTGATGTGAGGCTTGATCCCATGACCCTGAGATCATGACCTGAGCCGAAATCAAGAGTGAGTCACTCAACCACTGAGCCACCCAGATGCCCCTAGAATGACCTTTTTAAACTGCAAATCTGACTGGGGCGCTTGGGTGGCTCAGTCCTTAAGCGTCTGCCTTCAGCTCAGGTCATGATCCCAGGGTCCTGAGATGGAGTCCCGCATCGGGCTCTGTGCTCAGCAGGGAGCCTGCTTCTCCCTCTCCCACTCCCCCTGCTTGTGTTCCCTCTCTCTCTGTGTCTGTGTCAAAAAAATAAATAAAATCTTTAATTTAAAATAAATAAATAAATAAATAAATAAATAAATAAATAAATAAATAAATAAATAAAATGCCAATCTGACCATGTGTCTCTCTCTACCTAGAAGCTTTTAGTAGTTGTCTCTTGGTCCACACCAATAATCCTTGAGGCATGGTCTTACTCACTAGTGTGCTGAGGGACTCACTTATTGGTCCATAAACAGATCCAATTTTCTACCTTTGTGAAGTTCTTCTGTTGGCAAGTAAGAACAAGTTGGCATAGGCTGGCCCTACAAAGGCTTTACCTAAGAAGTTATAATCAAAGATAGCTGAAGGCCGTTCTTTAGAGAACAGATTCCAAACTCAAGGAATCTGCCTTATCTTCTGCCACTCCACTACATGTGCCCAGCACTCCAGCCTGACTGCATCAACTTCCTATGATTCCTTAAAGATTCATCTCGTGGTCTTTTTAAAGTCTGTTCTGTCTAGCAGTAATAGAAGATATTTGGCTCCCCACCCCTTCCCAGCATAACTAATTCCTCCTTTTTCCTTCAAGACTCAGTTCAAACTTTGCCTTCTCTAGGAAGGCTTCCCTGAATGTCTTCAGTTCCCAACCACGGCTCCAATTAAAAAAAAAAGAAAAAGAAGAAGAAGTCCCTCCTTTCTGTACTCCCTGGGCATCCCCTGTTACCACTCACTATACTCTGATGTCTGTTTATACATCTGTCTCTCCCACTAGACTGAGTTCACAGTACAAAGGACCTGCCCACAGTAAGTACTTAAATATTTGTGAGACTGAATGGGTATTATCATTCCTACTCTACAAGTAAGGCAATGAACTTTCTGCTGATATATCTTTAGAGACATTGAACAACAAAGTAGTCTTAATGATTTCTGTCAGGCTAAGTTATCGACAACCTTGAGTGACTGACATAAAAAATCCTCTGGATGGTTTAGAACCAGAATTGGGTTCACTTCCTGTGAAATCCTTGGGAACAGTTAAGGGAATCACAAGAAGAGCTTTAATCATTATGTTACATATTTAAGATTTTCAAAGCACTTTCATAACCAGGCTCTAAAAGCAATTTTATGGGAATGAAAGCAAGATGGCTCCCCCCATCAGGAGATGAGAAGATCAAGGTAAGTAGCTACAGGAACACCAGAAGCACTGGGCTTCCAGGATGTATCACAAAAGACTGAGGCCTAGAACTCACCTGGACGGGCCCAATGCTCTTATTTCGGCCTCCAGGCATGCCATCTTCTCTGATTGCTGGAAGGAAACATAAGTCAAGACGGTCAAAAGCATACCCACAGAAATCTAGGCACAAAAAGAGAACAAACTTGGCCAAAAGCACGAGGTAATAATTGGTGAAATCAAGATCAAAACAGAGGTCTTTCTGGACCCGAAGTATATACTCTTTCCATTATTCTAGGCTACGTCATAGGCAACAGATACTTCTGGGCCCCCAGGGCAATGGACACATACTGCACACCCTGCATGCATTTAATATGCTCAGCAAAGGTGACAGCATTATTAATAGTCCTGTGCACAGTTACAAATATCCCACCAGGATGATGCATCTGAAGGCTTCAGTAAATTCAAAGAGAGGGATAGAAAGAATATTTCCATTTTTTTTTTTTAAAGATTTTTTTATTTATTCATTTGACAGAGACACAGCGAGAGAGGGAACACAAGCAGAGGGAGAGGGAGAGGGAGAAGCAGGCTTCCCGCCGAGCAGGGAGCCCGATGCGGGGCTCGATCCCAGGACTCCGGGATCATGACCTGAGCTGAAGGCAGACGCTTAATGACTGGGCCACCCAGGCGCCCCAAGAATATTTCCATTTTTAAAGAAAGTATTTTTTATTTCCAGGCTAAGTTTGAGTCTAATTTATAGGATGAGAAGAACAAATTTTTTTTTTAAAGATTTTATTTATTTATTCATGAGAGACAGAGAGAGAGAGAGGCAGAGGGAGAAGCAGGCTCCCAAGGAGCAGGGAGCCTGATGTGGGACTCGATCCCAGGACCCTGGGATCGTGACCTGAGCCGAAGGCAGACGCTTAACCATCTGAGCCACCCAGGCGCCCAAATTTTTTTTTTAATTAATCAAAATTTTGATCTGATTCGTTTCTCTCTATATAAGCAGTCAGTAAAGGGGTGCCTGGGTGGCTCAATCAGTTAAGCATCAGACTCTTGGTTTTGGCTCAGGGCATGATCTCAGGGTTGTGAGACTGAGCCCTGTGTAGGGTTCTGCACTGGATGTGAAGCCTGCTTGGGATTCTCTCTCTCCCTCTTCCTCTTCCTCTGCCCCTCCCCCTCAACTCATCTGTGTGTGTGTGTGTGCGTGCCTGTGTAGAGTACCAAGAGATGAAGCTGGATGTTGGAGAGGCCAACTGGGGCCAGATCATAGATAGCCTTTAATGTTAGGGTAAGAGTATGGACTTCAGCAGAGGAAGCTGAGGATAAGATGGAATGCAGGGGATGGATGTGGTCAGGTCGGCATTTTCGAAAAATCTTTGTGATGGCCTCTGTGGAGGCTAGCTTGAAGGAGGCAATGTTAACAACAGAAGATAAGCTAACAGCATCATGAGAGTAAGCTTTGCTATATATACATATATATATATATATATACACACACACACACACACACACATATACATGTATATATATACATATATAAATAATATACCTGCTTCCAGAAAAATTAACATGAAGAATCTAGAAAGTTCTTGGGGCAGGGTTGAGAGTTCCAAGCATAACGCTCAGTTCCTGTGGTAACTGAAAGGCTAACAGGAAGTTCATTTTCCTTAAAGCAGACATCATCCTTGGTATCCTTAGAAGATTACACATTTCAGAATTAGACGAGCTTGGGTCTAAATCCAGTTTTTGGGGCGCCTCGGTGGTTCAGTCTGTTAGGCGTCTGCCTTCGGTTCAGGTCATGATCCCAGGGTCCTGGGACCAAGTCTCGCATCAGGCTCCCTGCTCAGCGGGAAGCCTGCTTCTCCCTCTGCCCCTCCCCCCACTTGTGCACGATCTCTCGCAAAAATAAATACTAAAAAATCTTTTTAAAATAAATTAATAGGAGCGCCTGGGTGGCTCAGTTGTTAAGCGTCTGCCTTCAGCTCGGGTCATGATCCCAGGGTCCTGGGATCGAGCCCCGCATCGGGCTCTCCGCTCGGCGGGGAGCCTGCTTCTCCCTCTCCCCCTCTGCCTGTGTTCCCTCTCTCACTGTCTCTGTCAAATAAATAAAATCTTTAAAAAATAATAATAATAATAAAATTAATTAATTAATTAATTAATTAATCCAGTTTTTGCCTGGTCTGTGTAACTACAGACAAGTTTCTTCACCTCTCTGAACCTCAGTTTCTTGAAGAATAAATGGGGCTACTGGAACCTATCTTATGGGGTGTTCTGAGGATCACATATAAAATAACATAGCTAAAGCACCAAGCATAGGGCCTGGCACATAAAGTAGGTATTCAATAACTAATTCTTCCCTCTACCCAGCCTCTTTTCTATGTACACAGTAATTAAAAAACCAAGGTTCCATTCCCAGCTTTGCTGGAGCCTTAACATCTTCATCTGTGAAATGGAGACAGCATAGTCTGCTTTACAAGGCTGCTGTGAATTTGGAGTGGGAAACATACAGTTTATATTAGAGCCAGATGCATACTGGTTTTTGTTGGGAGCTCTCTTTCAACCTAATTTCAAGTTCTAAAAATCCTTAAAATTCCCTCTCTGCTGTTCTAGAGTCAATGACAGTCTTCAGACACTTCCATTTCCAATACTGAGTTCTCTATGTCTTTGCTTCAGCTCACAGGTGCAGAATAAAGATCTATCATCAGCAGATCCAACACTGAATACATTTTACTTGATATCTCACTCTCACTGTCTTGGAGGTGAGGAAGGAACTCAACATGTTTTTCTTTTTTAAGGGCCACAAATCTTAAAGATTTACAACTTACCAATTTTTTGTTCTGATATTTAAAAGCTCGTGTTGTCTCTCAACCCCCCCTTGGACTAAGGAAACTCACACATGATGGACATGTACTGTGTTTCAGTTATATCTTGGGTAAAACAAACCCATGAGGGAAGTATCAGTATCACTCCCATTGAGCAGATGAATGTAAGGCTCAGAAAAATGAAGTACTTTGTTTACAGTAACAGAAACTAAACAGCAGAATCAGGATTGGAATCCAGACTATTAGACTAAGACCAGACTTCTTTCCACAACTAGTTTTTCCCATAGTGTGTCTGTATACTACTGGAGAAACAAAATTTTAGGTGGTACATAAACTCTTAATTATACACGTACCCTAACGTGCATTAAAATGTACTGATTTTCCATTCACTGAGGTGATAAAAAATTCCCTTTGAAAATTAACTTTGATTTTTTTTTTTTTTTTAAAAATTTTGATTTAAAGAAGAATACAGGGGCACCTGGGTAGCTCAGTCATTAAGCATCTGCTTTCGACTCAGGTCATGATCCCAGGGTCCTGGGATCGAGCCCTGCATCAGGCTCCCTGCTCAGCGGAGAGCCTGCTTCTCCCTCTCCTACTTCCCCTGTTTGTGTTCCCTCTCTCACTGTGTGTCTCTCTCTGTCAAATAAATAAATAAAATCTTTAAAAAACAAACAAACAAACAAAATAAGAATATAGGGGTGCTTGGGTGGCTCAGTTGGTTGGGCGTCTGCCTTCGGCTCAGGTCAAGATCCCAGAGTCCCAGATCAAGCCTCATATCGGGCTCCCTGCTTGGTGGGGAGTCTGCTTCTCCCTCTGCCCCTCACCCCACTCGTGCTCACTCTCTCTTGCTCTCTCTCTCAAATAAATAAAATCTTTTAAAAAAATAAAGAAGAATATAAATAATAGTACTGGTTTGGTCAAAGACTGTAAAATTTGTCAAGATGGCATGAAACTGCCTGAAGTGTGGGAAATAATACAATGTGTCACAGTGCCTCTGTTAAAACAAAAACTTGGATCATATTTTAAAGCTTATAATGTATTCATATATATGGTATCACATTTGATTCTTGGAAGGTGTACATTATTATTATCTATGTAGTTTAGAGATGAAAAAACCTGAAGCTCAGAGAGGTAAAGGGATTTGTTCAAGACCACTCAGGGAAGAACTGACAGAGTGGGGAATTTTAGTTTAGGTCCTCTGATTCTTTGCTTATTCCTCGATGCTATACTGAGCTAAGAGCAAGTTTCTCAATGGTGCTGAGAATCTTTCTTGTACTGAACTGATTTAGAAAAAAAACAAAAACAAAGGGCTTCTGGGTGCAAGGTCACAGGAATGGTTTTGCAGTATCTCTTATCCAAGTCTGAGTGGCAGCAGCTATAGTTCTTCTATCTGCTTAAAAGAAGTACAAATACTTTTTCTGCTCTGGAACTGCTGTACCTACCATTCCTCACTTAGGCTTGGGCAGCCAAACCAAACCCAGAAACAGAAAGGAGAGTAAGACACAAAGCTAACTACATCAAAGTCCTGCTCAAAACCCATTGGTGGCTCCCTTTGGTCTATGGGCTCAACCCAAGCTCCCTAAAACTTAGCATTCAAGACACTCCTATGATCTTGTTCTTCTGGGGTTCCCCATCTTCATCTCTTGCCACAAACGTTACATTGTAACTACAGACAACTATCTTTTTTTTTTTTTTTTTAAAGATTTTATTTATTTATTTGACAGAGAGAAACACAGCGAGAGAAGGAACACAAGCAGGGGGAGTGGGAGAGGGAGAAGCAGACTTCCCGCAGAGCAGGGAAGCCCAATGTGGGGCTCGATCCCAGGACCCTGGGACCACGACCTGAGCCAAAGGCAGACGCTTAATGACTGAGCCACCCAGGCACCCCAACAGACAACTATCTGTTAGTCCTTGAACAGGTCATGCTGTTTTACAGTTTTACCTCCGCACCTGTTGTTGCCTCTACTCAGAAAGTTTACGGTGGAAAAATCTGGCAACACCACCTTACCCAAGTGACATCACCTCAACCAAGTGACTCAAGTTAACATGACCAATAGTAGGGCAAAGCTATACCATGCGCTCTCGATAGAATGCACTAAAAGGACACAACGTTGCTGTTGTGGCATTCTTGCCAAAAATGCATAATTTGAATGTAACTGTGAGGAAACTGACAAGCCCAAGTTGAGGAATATTCTATTTGTCTTCTTCAAAATTAACAATGTTATTCAAGAAAAAAAAAAAAAGGATGAGGAATCATTTCAGATTAAAGGAGACGGAAGAGACATAAAAGCTAAATGTAATACATGATCC